AAAACACATGCAACACGGGGGGCAGCAACTACGTGAAGATGCAACTGCAGCACAGCCGAGGAGCCGACTAGGCTCAAAGCAGCAGATCCAGAGGGTTGATGGCATCGGGATGAAATGTTGGCCCAAACGAGAGCCACAAATTGCGGCAGAATGCATTTTTCAAAAGACGAAACGGGAGAGGAGGATGCAATCTCAAGTGGTTATCTCCGAGGCCCTCTGGACCTGTGGGACATGGGGACCAAAGTCAACATCAAAGTTCACGCCGACAAAGCGTCGAGAGTAAATGTTTAATGAGCGAGGCGAACGGGGAGCGTAGTTTGCTAAAAAGGAGTAAAGGATCACGACTCCTTCAGGCCCGGGCGCAAGCCAATTAAAACAAAAGCCAAAAAACAAATGCACTCCAAGCGGGGAGAAGCTGGGTAAGCTAGGAAAGCTGGGAGGAAAGCGCGTTTGACAGTGTCAAAGGACCAGAGGAGCGAGGGCCTACCACGTGAAGTGTTTGGCAACATTGTTGGACCTTCCAGGACCTCACCCAAACACTCTTTTTTCTCCCCCAGCACGCACTCCAAGCAACAGTTCTTCTTTGAAGTCAAAAGGATTTTTTCCCAGGCTGCAGCGAAAATCGGAGGCACAGTAAATTAGCTACACTTCACTCGACTGTTCAGCCGAAGGGAAAGGGTTTGGGGAATTTGCACCCGAAAGGCTCGCATTCCATTCGACAGCTGCTGCAGCCCCAAAGATGGATGGCATCCTAATCAAGGTGACAAATTAATCAGGGTTGGCAGAGAGTAAAAGGTAGAAAGAAACATTCGTTAGAGCCAAGCTGAAAATTTATCGGTGTAATTAGCAGAGAGAAGGAACTATAAAAAACAAAAAGAAAACGATTTTGAGTAAATGCCAAAGCGTAAACATACATTAAAACTAGTTATATACATAGTTAAGGAGGAAAACAACAATATTATGTAAAATACTCTCTTTTATTGTTGTATTGTTAATTAATTTGATGCGGGTACAAAAGAGCTTTCATAGAAAAACTAAGAAGACAGGAAGGAAAGCTTTAGTCGATTCTGTCGACTTTCTAATCGCTAATCAGATAAACAATTTTAATTGGCTGATTCTGATACCATTTTAAGACTTCTTATGGTTCAGTTTGGTTCAAAAACAATAATCTCGAAAAAAAATTATACTACGAGAAGGATCAACATAAAACACAACTAAGAAATAGACATTTGTATATGCTCCCTAAAATCAGAAACCTATCTAATTTTATATAAATTTTTAATACTTAATTTAACCATAGAACCTTTTTCATTTTTATGAACTTGAACGTTTTTTCTTTAAGTAAAAATTAGGCTGAAATTTAACCACAGCCAGTAGAGCTTTTAGCCCAACACTATCCCATTAGGAGCTGCAGTATCTCAATCCTGATCCGAAGACCCTATTTTCTTGGCAACTTTGCTCGCTTTTAATTATGCTTAGCTGACAGCGCAAACTACAATGGTAGTGCCAGGATGAGAAACAGGATGAGGAGCAGGGAGTGGAGCGGGAGCAGCAGGACAAAGGGGAGGATTAGGTTGAAGAGGCGCTTTGGCTTTAGGCCCACTGGCGCCCGGCGATATGTGACAGCCATTTAATTTGATTTATGGCAAGTGAATAGCCTTGATTAGGACGCGTTCGCTACAATGAGAACCGACGACCGACTCAGATGCCTGCGGGGCAGGATGAGTGCGATGTGTGTGCATGTGTGGATGAATTTAACTCAATTTCACATAAATCAAAAATGTAGCCGACCCAAAACCCGCTCCCAAGCCCGAATCCTCTTCGTCCTGCTCCACTTCTCCGCATTCATTCATTCATTTCCCCCGTGTGCACCTTGGCGCTAATCGCATTTCAATTGTTGAAACGAATTGCGAATTGAATGAAGTGTTGAAATTTTAGCAGCCCGACCAAGCTCATATGTGCACTGGAAAAAAAAACCTACCCAATGAGTTCAAATAGGAAAGTTAGGAAAGGCTGGATAGAGATTGGCCACTTTTTAAATAAGGAAGTTTTCATAAAAATACTTTGGTTTTATTGGGATTGAAAGTGTTTTAAAACGGCTTTATTTTTAAAAGAAGCCTTTTTTATTTTTTTAAAAAGATAACAACCTTTAATTTACCTTCGAATTTAAATTGAGCTATTAAAACCTGTTTAAGTTGTGAAATTTGTTTTGAAAAGTGTCCATCCAGGTTGGAAGCTTCTAGCAAAGAACAATTTGGATTACTATTTTTCCGAGTGTGTAGATAGAGATTTCCCCTATGGGGAGGGGAACAAGTTCATAAAAGTAAATCCAAAGCAGGCAACAATAAGCGAATTTAGGTGTCAAACAGCAGGTGGCAGTGGCAGCCAACGGAAGTGCCTGACGTCCTTCGATTGCGGACTGGGGGTCGGATTCGTATTGGGATTTGGGTTTGGGGTTCGGTTTCTGGGTTCCAGGACTCCGGGGTTCCGGGGTTTCGGGGTTCTGGGGTTCCGGGGTGCTGAGGTCTTTGGGGACTGCCTGGTATCGTCAGAGACAGATGATATCTTAAACACACACACCCTCAGACAATCACACATGACTACCCAGCCAAATGTTATCAGAAAACCAGCAACAAGCAAAAAAAAACCGAACTGTTGTACAATTTTTGACATGGGTTACACCGAACAAAGGACCACAAACTTGGGGCGGGCTTTAGATACGTATTGCGTACGTATAAATATATATGTGTCTATGGAACCTTCTTTCGATATCATTTGGGCAGTGCCCGTGTATTGGCAAACCGCAAGAACATCAACTGATGGCAGATAAATTAAATTTTGCGGTTCTAAATGGGCAATCAATGAGGCGTTCCACAGCAGGTTTCGCTGCCAAACTTCGCTTGCACTCTGAAAACTATGTGGAAATAAAATTTAAAAATTGAACAAACACGAGCCAATAACTTGACCTCCGCCAAAGAGACAGGCACGGCGAAATGCGAAGAAAGGAAAGGAAAGGAGCCCAAAAAGTTGTTAGTGAAACTTTCAGGCTACGACATCAAATATTGACTGAAGTCGGGAAATCCCCTCGCCCGATTCCCCCTCGACAACTCAAGTGGGTGTTGTTGTGTACAGTTGACACCTGGAATCCCCCTTCTACGGTTCCGTTTATTGGTATTTATTCGGCAGCCGGAATGCCTAATCAAACAGACGGAGGGTACTTGAAGGGCTGCTTGAGCACACAAAATACAACTAATATTGTACGCGATTCGGTATCCACAAGGGGAAATCCTTAAGGCGCCGAACCTCTCCATCTGAATAAAATGGAGGGTGAAAAAAGAGAGTAAGGGTTAAGATACTTCGCGATTTTGTGGGGATTGGATGTTCAGAAGCCAAGGAAAATAAGATAAGGTGAGCCAAATAATTCTAAAGGAGCACAATTGGTTTTTTTATTAATTCAGAAAGCTTTATAATACTTCTCTTTCTGGCATTTAATTTTTTGTAGTCTGTACAAATTCTGAAAAATAATAAATGCAATTCATCAATAAGAGTACCTAGTATTTGTTTAATAGTTACTGGCATTTGGCATTGTTTGACTTTAGCATTAATTGATTATTTTATTTCAACTGCTGTAAAAGTAATCAATTTGGATTTCCAGAGAATACAACATTGTGTTCCATTATTCTTATTAATTTAAATTAGCGCCAGCCCAGTCTGGACTCAACAGTTGCCCAGTTAATACGAGTGGGTCAATGGCTTAACAGTTGAACACCGAAAAAAGGACTCGCAGGACCTAGGCCAACTTGAATGGATGAGGAAAAAACCCATTTCCATACAATTTCTATATCAAAGGAACCCCTTCCTTGTCTCCCAAACGGACCGCGCTAGAGGGAAATATTTATTAATTAACCATTATCGTTGACTGGGCTCTGTCCGACTGCCGACTGCTGACTGCTGATTCCGCTTCTGGTGCTGATGCGTCGATGATAAATGGACGTCTGAAGTGCAATTTGCATGCGAGCCGAACAAAAAGGGGCGGGATGTTGGGGGAAAAAGGGAGATGTGCGGAGGAAATCAGCGGCGGCCATTGATGCCATTGAGATGAGCACACAAAACAGGCGGACGGAGGGACTTCCGGACGTGATGGCAACCTGTCCGCTGATGAGCATCATTATGCCAAAGGACATGCTGCTTGTCCTGCGGATCAGGCTCCCAGGAGTTGACAATTATGACAGACGCAGGCATTCGGCATTCGTTCCCTGCAGCCGATGCTACTGCTGGAATTAACGCCATTTTAATTGAATTTTAATATTTCACACACGACTCAACAGCCGGAAGTGGAAGTCCGCAGTTGGGCAGAGAAGGGCTTTGAAATTTGCCCGAAAACCGCAAGTAAAACGTTAAGAGTAGGCGGAATGGTACAGAATGGTTTATGGCCGCCCACCATAAAGGATGGCCTGCGGATCTGCCGCTGACTGACCAATGAAATAGCCATTATGGAAATCTGTTGCCAAGTTTGGTCACATAATGGATAATGATGCATTAAATTCTGGAGTACTTAAAGCGGGGCAAAGAGGGACCCAAACTCATCTGAAAAACTAAACGGTTATTGAACATTTACCAGTATATGTTTTCAAAATATATTCTCTTACTTTATTAAACGACCTTTAGATATAAGTACAACTATTAAATATTAATAATAAGGACGGATAAAGTAAAATGGTAAAAGGGTCTACGGTGAATGGTGTCTAAACTTGTAATTATAAATTCAGTACTTTCAATTAATTTTCTTAATTTGTATGCAAAAGTTTTAATAACGTTGTTTTAGTTGTTTAAAACGAGTGCCTCACGAAACATTATTAATAATAAGTGTTAAAATCTTTAGCAAACAAATTCTAAGTTCAACAAACCATAACTTAAGCTTTTTTACTTCCCAACTCTGATAAGTGCACGCACTATCGATATGCTTAGAATGCAATACTGCCAGTAGTGTTGAACAACTTAGCAATTAAATGAATGGCTTTTTCACAACTAAACCGCATTAAAATGGCTCGCGTTAAATTCACGATGATGGTAAGTTAAATGTGTTTTATATACAAAATTTCTTAAGTGTATAACTTGCTTCAGATTGGACCGTCTAAAAAGCGAACCCAGGTTATTAAACCCAAACCTCAAACATCACTTGATCGACGTCTGATCGAACTGGAGATGCGAATAAATAGCTTTGCTAAGGAAGTAATGGATTACAAAAAGAAATATAGCCCTTGTATCATTATGAAGACATCGGACAACCGATGCCCTATTCGATTGAATCTGGAATTTATGCGAAGGATTGAAGATCTCGCTGTGCAGTTTTTGGTTCAGGGAAATTCTCCAATTGTTGTTTTCACTTCTTGACTTGTCGAAAATCACCAGAAGTCCAGTTTAACGAGTACTTCAAAGTTGGAATCACAGCATTCGGCCAAACCAAACCGAACTTAAAACATATTACATAAACCACATGTTTCATACAAATGCAACAGACAAAAGACTAATCATTTAAATAAAAAACAAATAAACGTACTTTAAATTAAATAATTCCTTGATCCAAATAATATTATAAACATATGTAAAGGTATTTAAGGAAAAGGCACACATCAGTGGACTGATATTGTGGACAACCCAATTCGACGTATACATATAGCGACCACGATGCCCACGAAAACCTGATCAAATATTTTGTCACGACCAACAATTTCCTGAAGGGACACCGATGGGATGTGCCAGTGTCCAAATATTAAATGCCATTGTGACAAACGCCGCCAACTGGCTATGAAACAGTCAACTATTGATGATGATGAGGACGTGGAGCCCCAGACCAACGGGGACCATTCGAATAGTCGCCGTTTGCAATCAGTGTGAGGGGGTGTGACAAACGCAGTTGGCAATTTCTTCGTGTAACATGCAAATTTCAACGATTTTCAATCACAACTTCGCACTCGCTGCAGCTCTTTCTGTGACGTTTGGCAGTGATGCCGGCTTAGATAGATTTCGATCTCCGAATAGTGAATGGTAGTTTGAAACATTGACGTGGTATAAAATATCCTTTTTGCCAATTTACTCTAAAACCCTTGAAAAAGAGCACCCAATTAACTACAGTTGATTACGTGCCAATGCAATTGACTTTTTTTATTTTTGCACCATTAAACAACCTTATATTCATTTTTATTGCAATCCAAAACCATTAACCTTTGACTTTTATTCTGTTTAATAATTTACATATACATTTCTAAAAATTGCTCTTAAATGAATAAAAAAAGTATAGGATAGGAAGTAGCAGAGTCTGTTTAGTTTCGAGTTTAAAAAGGAATAATTAAGATATTAGGCTTTTATACAAAATGATAGTCCAAGCGGTGTTCTCAACACTTATATTTTTGGCTTAACATTGGGATCCAGTCTGCTGAAAGTCACGCAACACTGGTCTCTGCTTTGCACGGACACACAGTGCGTATGAGCAATGGAAAAGTAATTAAATTTAACAGGCAGAAACGAGAACTGCACGGAGTCCTGTGTGATGTCCTCCGTTCTCTGTCGATTTCCCGGCTAGTTAGACTAACAAAATAAAAAAGAAAATATTGGGAAAACTGTCATTATTAACGCATTGAACGCGGCGCTGACAGCTGTTGCACCCCGGAAAAGGATGAAAAACGGGGGGCGAGTAGGTGCCATGTTGACACTTTGCCGGGACCAAATGACATTTATTGAAATTTCATCATTAAGAGCCGAAGTGGGGAAGCCATTTCCCCAAACTGTTTGTGAACTTTGCCGCTCGTCGAACTTATTTAAATTCGAATTGCGACACGTGCGAGGAGTACGAGTAGATTGTCATATCACCATCAGGTTTTCAAAGAGGCAGCACGCAAAAAAAAACGTTGACAACCCTTGCCGATGAAAATCACTTTTATTTTGGCATCACAAACAACAATTCAGTGAACTGAAAAATATCCCCAAGGAGCAGAGCCGACATTTTCCACATTTTTGCATAATTTTCAAGAAAAACTTTTCAAGTTATGCGTTAGGTGACAGAAATCCTCATCATCCCCTTATCGAAAAATGATATGTGAGTTTATAATTCGAATGTAATATGCTTTAGGCAAATTGATGAAGACGAGGGTTGGATCGATATAATGCGAAAATAATATTTCGCTTGTGAAAGAAAAAGTCTAAGAAAAGAAATGGATCAATACGTACAGCATGAAGAGAATAAATGGAATGTTCAATTCAGAAACCCAATTTTGAATATTTTCTTGCGTTTGACGGGTTCACTGAGTGCTTTTTAATCGAGTTTAGTAGAAAAAATTCAATTGCAACTAAAATACCTTTAAGTTGAAAAATCTAAACTCATTAAATTAGGCTACCTTATTTTTTGAGAAATTATTCTGATTTCCGAACTCTTTACTTTTTTATGTTTGATTTCAAAACAGGTAAAATAAAGCAAAGGCATAGATTATGAAAATAGATGGATAAATATGTAAAGCAAATAGAAAATAAAGGAGATGTTCAATTCGTAAACCCAATACTAAATGTAGATTGCTTATATCGGAAGGGTTCATTAAGTTTTTCAATTCAATTGCCCGAGTCCCTGACTTCGCCACTTAACCACCGAGTTGCACCCCGGAATCCCCCGGATCGCATCGAAAAGCAACCCCTGCGAAAATTCCCTTGGAAGGCTATAGCTACATATATCCTCGTTCTTGGGATCTGACCAGCCTGGGGCTCTGGCTCGTCGGCCCGGTGTCTAATCAAAAATGCAATGTTTGGCTTGGTTAAGCGGAAATCGGTAGATTGCGTTCGCACAGTTTTCGCTTGTTGATATTAACACATTCCTCCCACCGCTTCTGCGGACCCATCAACACCCCCAGATTGATGGGCGTGGTCAAGGGTCGGGGGCGGAGGCGGAGGGGGAGGTGGGTTAATGAAACGTCACAGATGATGGCGACGTTGGCGTAAGATTTCAATGATATGTCAAAACTGAGTGATGCTGATGATGGATGGGTGGTCATAATACAGTATCCTTCGTCCTTGGTGCACTCAAAAAAAAAATTGTCCATTGTTTCTAAAAAAAATTTTTTTTTTAAATGTAAGGAAAGGGAGGGTGCCTCTATATTATATTCTAAAAATGAAATCCTTTTAGATTTGAATAGTTTTAGAGTTTTTATTTTTAATATGTACTTATATTTGTGTTTGTAACTTATTAATTTTATTAATAAATTTGTATTTGTAAAATTTGCTACATTAAAGAGTTTTTAGGCTTTTAAAACCTAATTGTAACACTTATAATATTTTATGAAATACGTGTACATATAAATAATTAAAAATGTATGTTAAACTTGTTTGTTATATAATTTTTTTGAGTGTCATTGTCGGCATGCCCCCTTCCTTTCGCCTTTCCCTTTCGGCCTCATACATCACACGCTTCTACGCATAAATTTACGAAATTTGGACCAACTTGAGCCGCATTTACATGGGATTTCCACGGCCAGAAAAGGATGGGGGAGGGTTGGCGAAAGTGGTGGCTTAGATGGACGCTTGACGGTGGGTGGTTGGCGGTTCGGGGAGGAGGACGGTGGGCGGTGGGCCGTAAGAAGACAAACAAACCCGGCATCCGCTTGGTGGCAATTTCCGTTTCGTCACTTAACGCACATCAAATGCAATTTTGCCGGGCAAATAACATAATCAACCCACAAAGTAGAAGGAGTGTAATACCCAAAATTTACCCGAGCAAGCAGTGCAGGCAGTCAGGTGAAATTTTATCACAGCAAAATGCTTTCAATTTGTGTTTCTATTTTCCGCTTACTCTTTTTATTCGACGCCTTCCATATTGAAATTTGATTTGTCGCTGGCAAAGTGCAGCGGGAATATACATTTTTGTGATGGATATTTGAGCAAAACTTGCCCGAAGTGTCGACAATTGAATTTGTGCTGCTTGTGCAATTTGCGAAAATTGATGTGGCACCATTAGACGCATCAACGTCGGCTCCTGTTGGGCAAAAAAGGGGAAAGGGGAGCTCGGTTGCGAAACCATAATTTTTAATGGCATTTTTATATGGAGCGAAAGTGATTTTATTTAGAAGGTGTCAACACGGATGCCGCCAGGAGAGATGAGGCGCAGACATCACTTTCAATTTATGAGCTGGGACGATAAAAAGGGTGGAGAATATTACAGGGACAACTATTGCTTGAAATAAGTTTGTGAAATACGTATGACTTTCACTGTGTCAAAGAGTAAAACAATTGCGTAATTTCAAATAATCGAACTGTTCGTAGTATTTTTGACTATTAAATTTTTCTGAATCTAAAGAACACCAGGTCGTCTGTTCTTAGATACACAATAACGAAACCATTTGTTATACAGTAATTTAAAACTATATGACAGATTTTTTGTTTTAAAATAAAAGAGTAATAATTTCTTTGTACACAAAATAATTGTTTAATAGTTTTATATTTGCACAATCTTAGCTTCCCAAAATATTAAAATTTAATTGATTTCAAACATGTGCGTTATTTCAAATAATCGAACTGTTTTTATCATCGTCGTATTTTAAGCCATTACATTTTTATGAATCTAAAACACACCAGGTAATCTATTTAATTTAATACATACACAGTAATAAGAAATTATATTACAGATTATACTTTTTTAATTAAAAGAATAATAAATTCTTTGTACGGAAAATATTTGTTTAATAGGCTTATATATATTTTTTTTAATGTAACGTCCGAGTTTAACTTCTCGAAGGATATAAATTTAATTGAAGGAATGCCAAAAATAGTTTTTCAGACGCATTTCCCTTTCTTGTCTTGGCCAATCTATGCAGATTCTTTCTTTAACCTCACATGCTCTTTCAGTATTTATTTTCCCTTCGGCCAAACTAAAACCGGAAAGGCCAAACGGGATAATGGGGCCAGGGAAAAGCAAAAGCCCACGCTTTACCAGGCAAAGGCTAAAAAGTAAACGCCTTTGGTTAGTGGAAAGTGAAAGAGCAGCGTAAACAAATACGACAGCCGCCGACTCGGGAGCAACTTACATCTGCTGATAAAGAAAGCAGCAGGCATTTTGTGAGAACCCTGCAGTTTATAAATCGTGAAGTGGGAGTGGTGTGGGTGGCTTAACTGGGAGGAAAGGGGGTGGTGCAGCCGACGTATTTTAATGAAAGATGGCAACAACAACATGGACGTTAAAAGGTTGTCATTAAAATTGCAGCGGTTGCTGCTGGTCGCTTCATTAGAGATGGCGCCTGCTCTTTGCTCTTTGTTGTGGTGCAAAAAGTTAGGAGTTGGGTGGTCCACATTTCAAACTAGGTTGCGTTTTGGGTAAATACTGTCGAACAGCGTGATGAACGCGCCAGAGTCATTGAATCAAGATGAAAGTGGAAATTGCAAATAGACAAAAAAGCGAAGACAGAAGGGCAATTTTTGCAAAAAGATCAAAGGCAAAAAAGGATAAAAGTTGTTACTAGCTACAAGATTGGTTTTTCAAACCAATGTAAGAGTGGCCGTACTGCTGAAAAGAGTTCGGTTTTAAGGGGATGCCACTTGGCTGAAAAAATGTGAGCTACCAGATTTCCTGGCTCATTTAAAAAATCAAGATTTGGGATAAAGAACTAGAAAGATCTCCCACTTCAGATATAAAGATTATTTATTTGATCAAATATTATAAGGAGTTCTCAATATGTAAGGCCAGTAATACACTAACCTCTAACATTCTCTTTTCTGCCACTTGTCTGCCAGTAAAAGGTTTATTTTTTAGACCTGTTGCACAGTTATTGCAAATGTTTAGCAACTAATAAGTTGTTTTAGTAACAAATAAGTCTATTAAATTAACTCAAATTAAATCATTGATTGGTAGGTTTCAGATAAGTTAATTTAAATCTTATTGGAAAAGCTAAAATGTTCCCTAACTGTTAAAAAGTATTAGGAAATTTCTATTTAATTTGGGTATCCAAACACCTTTGCGGGCCTCTTAAGACTTTGATTCACAATTTACCTTCCAATGATTACGTTTTTTATTTTCGATTAATAACATTTTAACTAAAACAAGCGCCTCGGTGGCTCCTTTTCCTCAGCATTCGCGTCTAGCGGACGAGCCAGTTCGATCGAATTGATCCTGACCATGGTGTGTGGGGATCGCTGGAAGTTGATTCTCATGTACTGCTTCCTGCGCTTCTTCCGGAAGTGGGTTTTCGTGTGGCTGAGGGTCTTCTCCACTACGGTGGCCTTCACGGAAACGAGTCCGGGTTCCAGAATGGGTCTTCCGACGAGGGTGAAGTCCCGGGCTCCCGCCAGCAGTACCTTATCCAAGCTAATCTCATCGCCCGCCGTTGGGGGCCAGTATCCCTCGACCACAATAATGTCGCCGGGGGTTATTTTAAATTGTTTACCGCACAGATGAACCACAGCGAAAAGCCGCCCCTGCTCTGATTTTTGCACCTGACGGTTGATTCGCTCGCAAATGTTCTGGCCCTCCTTTTGTTGCTCTTTGGCTATGGCAGATACGTCCACCGATTTCGCCGCTGGTTTGTTTTGCTGCCCCAAAGCCGGCGAAATGCTCAGCGAACGCATGGCACCTACAAAATACAAAGTTCCATTGATACCTTGTTATGTCACATTGTTTACATGGTTTTTAAAAACTAATCGCTCACCTGCTAATGCTGAACTGCGATTGGGCACCTGCCGCAGCACCTGGCGCACTGATTGCGCCAAAAATGACATCGTTTTTTGTAGTTTTTAACTCAAAATACAAAAGATCACAAATCAATCACACGGTGCAAAGAATCCAAGAAACTAAAATGCCCTAACGCGACAAAACAGCTGCTATAACATAAGACTGCCACATCTCTGTTAACGTCAGGTAAAATCTAGCTATTTTTGATAGACGCGTAAGTCAAAATGGTAAAGTTGTGCTTTAGCGGCTTTTGCTAAAAATGGTCTAGGAATTTTATTTTTTTTTAAAGGATACCTTGGGGCCTAAACATTTATAAAAAAAGTGGCGGAAAGCTTGATTTCTAATTATTTATTTGTAAAAATAGCAAAAAAGCAACTGGCCATAGCTTTCCTGGGTATTCACTCAGTACTATAAAATCACTCTGAGTCATTTCGCAACCTTTACAGCGTTCAGTACTAATATTGGCAGTGTCTGACATGGTGAAATTGTTTAATTTCTTTTGTTTTTAAATTTTCACTCAATTGCAGCACTCTTCATTCACAATACATTTTTCGCGGTAAAGTTTTTCGCTTGAAAAACATGGCAATGTTCTAACACGGGTTGTCTCGCGGCAGTGATAATTGCTGTTTTAACACATAAATAATTAAAATTTACGCTTTCCGCCATTTTTTTTATTAATGTTTAGGCCCCAAGGTATCCCTTAAAAAAAAAAAAAAACATTCCTAGCCCGTTTTTAGCAAAAGCCGCTAAAGCACAACTTTACCGTCAAAATTACAATTATCAAATTAGACTTGTTTGAAAATGATTTTATTTTTAAAGAATTTAGTGGATCAAGATCATTCAGAGCAATATAAAACTTAGCTGGGTTATTTGATAAGTAACAGACCTTTGTTGTATCCTATATTTATGCAAATGTATCTAATTGCAATATTTTTTTTTATACATATATGTATTTCTGAGTTTAAAAAAAAACCTTTTTAAAAATTGACATTGTCATGTGCAGGAATTCGGTAATGGAATCCAGCTATAAAATCATTCCACTTTCAGCTAGGTCTAGGTAGCTTTTTAAAAGCTGTCATTACTGTCAGCATGTGCCTCTCCGTTCAGTGCTGTCAAAAGCCGAAAGCCGAGTCACTTTCCAACACTCCTCCTGAAAGCAGGCCCGGCGTTTTGCTATCCGAATTTTTTGCCTAGCAACTTATTTTAGCTCCATAAACAACTAGTGAGTGGGTGAAAAGATCACAAAAGTGCAAATCCTCTAGCTGGTGATATATTATAGAAGTACAAAATGGCCGAGACCGAGAAAATTGAGGTTCGCGACGTAACGCGCATTGAGCGCATTGGCGCCCATTCGCATATCCGCGGATTGGGATTGGACGATGTGCTTGAAGCGCGCCTGGTTTCCCAGGGCATGGTGGGCCAGAAGGACGCCCGTCGTGCAGCTGGAGTGGTGGTACAGATGGTGCGCGAAGGCAAAATCGCCGGCAGATGCATTCTGCTGGCCGGAGAGCCGAGCACCGGCAAAACCGCCATCGCCGTTGGAATGGCCCAGGCTCTGGGCACAGAAACACCGTTCACTAGCATGTCCGGATCGGAGATATATTCGCTCGAGATGAGCAAGACCGAGGCCCTGTCACAGGCGCTGCGCAAGAGCATTGGCGTTCGCATCAAGGAGGAGACCGAGATCATCGAGGGCGAAGTGGTGGAGATCCAAATCGAACGCCCTGCCACGGGAACTGGACAGAAAGTGGGCAAGGTCACCCTGAAGACCACCGAGATGGAGACTAACTACGATCTAGGCAACAAGATCATCGAGTGCTTCATGAAGGAGAAGATCCAGGCGGGCGATGTGATCACCATCGACAAGGCCTCCGGAAAGGTAAACAAGCTGGGGCGCAGCTTCACCAGAGCCAGGGACTACGATGCCACTGGAGCCCAGACCAGATTCGTCCAGTGCCCCGAGGGGGAGCTCCAGAAGCGCAAGGAGGTGGTCCACACCGTGACCCTGCACGAGATCGATGTGATCAATAGTCGCACCCACGGCTTTCTGGCTCTGTTTTCCGGCGACACTGGCGAAATCAAGCAGGAAGTGCGCGACCAAATCAACAACAAGGTCCTCGAGTGGCGTGAGGAGGGCAAGGCCGAGATCAACCCGGGCGTACTCTTCATTGACGAGGTGCACATGCTGGACATTGAGTGCTTCTCCTTCCTTAACCGCGCCTTGGAATCGGACATGGCCCCCGTGGTGGTGATGGCCACCAATCGCGGCATCACTCGCATCAGGGGCACCAACTACCGCAGTCCGCATGGCATCCCCATCGATCTGCTCGACCGCATGATCATTATTCGCACGGTTCCGTATTCCGACAAGGAGGTCAAGGAGATCCTTAAGATCCGCTGCGAGGAGGAGGACTGCGTCATGCACCCGGACGCCCTGATCATTCTAACACGCATTGCCACCGACACGAGTCTGCGCTACGCCATCCAGCTCATCACTACAGCCAATTTAGTTTGCCGCCGTCGCAAGGCCACCGAGGTCAATACTGAGGATGTGAAGAAGGTCTACTCGCTGTTCCTAGACGAGAACCGTTCGAGCAAGATCCTGAAGGAGTACCAGGACGACTACATGTTCAGCGAGATCACCGAGGAGCTGGAGCAGGATCCCGCTTCTGGTGGCGGGGCAAAGCGTCGTGCGGAGACCGGTGGCGGTGATGCACAGCCCATGGAGCACTAGAGCCTTGATCGGCAGATCAGCAACCTCCCAGTACATTCTCATGACTACTTTATGATCAATAAATAAGTTTCCTTGTATCTACGATTAACACCAATGCCTTTGATTGCGGATTTAATCTGGAGTGCAGCTATTAAACCTCTAAACATTCATTGAATATATTTAACAATGATTTTTAATGGCAAAGCCTATAGGGAAAACCTGTTGGGCTTCCAGTGGTGAAAAATCAGTATTGACTTCTAATTACAGCGATTAAAATTTCTACTTTATAACGTCATTTAGATTATAAAATTTTAAACTTTGACGTTATTATTCGGCGGTTTAAATTTGTATGTGTCATTGTTAATTGAATATTGTTTGGCTCCTCCAGGGAGTCTAAAGTGTATGAATCACCACATAGTCCATAATGACTTTCCCATTTGATTTCCACGCCCAATTAATGCTTGCCTTGTTTCTAAAAATAATTCCATTGCATTTATTTCGCATTTCCGTTACTGAAATTTGCTCTCAGCGTGAGCATATCAAAATATATCTTTGCATCATCTCTGCAATAGTATAAAACTGTCTTTATGGCTTAGTCTCCATTAAAATACAAGAAATCTGTTAAAGAAGTTGTTTGATTTTCAAAGACCCGGGTCTGATAAAGTCTTATATGTGATCTGTCTAGTTACTAGTTGAACTAAACGGTTTTGTAACACTTAAACAATTTACAATTCCACAATATATATAGACTGGCAATGTGCCTTTGGGCGAGATAAAACAGTATCTTATCGCCAAAAAACCACTGCATGTTCGGGGATGACTCCTCCTTGACTAGGCAAACGATATATATATGTATAAAATTGCATTCCAATAGCTAGTTAACAAATCTCTAGTTAGAGTGGCATATTATTTGGTGAAACTTCTTATTTGGTTAGTCAAATTAATTCGATTCTTTGATTAATACCAATTCCAAACAATTGTCAAGGCGAAACTAAAATTTTAGATAACTTCCAGCTAATTTTCAATCTTTTCTTCCCTACTCCAACTTTTTGTCCTCTGGTTTCTTTTCCTCTGTGACGTTTTCTGTGATCTTTTCCTGTGTCTTCTCATCCTCGCCAGCTGCTCTTCGGGAACGGCTTCCAAAGAAGTGATAATAGGTGTGATAGAAGACAGCCCATACGAAGAGGAAGGTGAATCCGTAGTAGTCAACCGCTCCGTAAACCACGATCCACCGCTCGTACTTCAGATACACAAACGCCGTGAGACACCAGCCCATGTACACAATATTGTAAGATTTCATGGTGATAAAGTAGAGCAGCTTATAGATGTCCGAGTTGTTGAGGATCTGGCCATATTTCGGCAACACAACCTTTGTGTAAAAGCGGGTTATCTGCAATCGGTGGAAAGAATACATTTTTTACAAATTCTAACTTCGTACATTTTTGGAGGACTCACCTGCTTCTCAGTGCTCACGACCATGTATTCCATTAGGAAGGTCATGTAGTATCCGCTGTGGTATCCATGCCAAATGGCCAAGAAACCCAACGCCGCACCGTAACTGATCGTGCGATTGTTGAGGAATTTGAGCCGCTTGTAGATGTACTGTCCCACCCACTGATTCGTGTTTACGTTGAAGCTCTGCACGTAGTGCTCCATCGTGTTGCCAGTTTCCAGGAGCCTTAGCTTCACGTTGCTGCAGCCCGACCAATCTGGTTGTCCGTCCTTGTCCTCTCCTTTGTAGGTCAAGCCAATACAGATAAGGGCTCCCTCGGTGAGCAGCCAGCATGATATGTACTTGTACAAACTGAACTTGGCCCAGAAGCCCAGGAAGTAGATCCTCTTGATGAACGGAACCTCGGCAAACTCCGGAGTGAGGAAGTACGAATCGGGGAAATACCTCAAGCCCACTTGGCAGACTATCAGGTAGAAGAACCCAGCTCCGAATCGCCGAACGCCAGCGTTCAAGCTTCCCTCGTGCTGTCTGAATTGGCCATTAACGAAGGCCTGATATCGGCGAAAGGGGAACTGCGGTCCCACCAAGAACCCACTGGGAAAATATGCAAAGGCCAAGAGTTCCAGCAGCGATGGTGGTTTCTTCAAGGCAGTTTCCTTTTGGTCCTTCGACAGCTCTGATTCCTCTTTCAGTCCGTCGGTGATATCAAAGCCGTATCCGATCATTCGGAGTACCAAAATGCAATGCGGCATCGTCCATAGGATGTCGTATTCGTTGCTGGAGGTGAAGAAGTAACCCAGCAACAGATAACTCATGTGGAACACAAAGTTGAGGGCCAGGAATATTTGTGCTTTTTTTCGCAGGAAGAGTACCAGGAAATAGGTGGTCAGGATTCCCACCAGGGAGTGATATGTGTCGTAGCCATAGTTGAAGTAACATAACCCAAGTCCACATCCGGCAAAGAACAGGTGATGTACGGTCTTATCGGCAATGCTTGCGATATACTTGATATAAAACGCTGCCAAGGGATAACCTAAAACGGAATATATGGATATTAGTAGTTAACTAACCCAGTTAGGGTCAAAAAATGTCCAAAGAGCTAAGAAATACACAGATATGTTTTTTTTACGGAATTAACATTTTTAACTTAAGTTAATCTTTGCATTACCAGCAATAACTTCAAGCTGAAAAGTAGATCGAATTTTTAATGTTTGTTTGTATCCATTTCAATGCATCTATAGATCTAATTTGAATAACTAGTTTAAAAAATAGTTATTGTTACAAGCTTCAAATGTTGTTTTCATTTATATAATTTGTAATAATAAATATAAAATTAAAGAAAGAACGCTCCTTTTATTATTTGATTTCAAATAAACACTTGTGCATAAAACCTATTAATATCTACCATAAAATTTGTTTAGGAGTATTTTTAGTCGTATACCCATTAAGTCTCCAAACATAGAATGCAGCTACTCAAGCCCTCAACATTTCTTAAGACTTGTAAACGGATATTTTTGCTTACCTGCAAGGATAGTCAGGAGCAATCGAAAGGCCTCAACGGGGACCCCGATTCTCGACGAGATTCCATCCATTAATCCATAGTAGGGCACGACCTCCGCGAATTCCGTCATGCTAAATCTGGAAAAAAGAAGGTTTGCGCTTATCAGTTCACTTCACTCGCGTGTCTCGCTGGTGGTTCATTGTGCTTGAGTCCTTATCATCCCATAATTGTTGTTATTGTTATTGTCTTGTATTACGCAAACTGATTGTTTTTTGATCGTCGAAATGGTGAGGGGAGTGGAGGGAGAAGATTGAAGCGAAGAAGAAGACGAGAAACAACAACAACAAACGAGTGCACTTGGTCAGGGTCAATGAAAACTCATACGGAGAGGTCGAATTATTTTGTCGAAACACATAAATCGAAAATGACGCACTTGTCTCTTCACGGATTTAAATATTTTATACTTATTGATTTCACGGTCAGGTCATAAAAGTAAATGGAAACAACAAAACGAAAGCGGCAAGCCGAATTGTTGGTCGAAATTACCTAAAGTTGCTAAACACTGGAGCAATGTGGCTGTCTTCGGGAACATAGGAAATGCCTAATCCTAACAGTAATAGTCACGCGTATTAACCCATAGATGGTCGCAGATAAGGTATTACTGGGCCACAAATTATAATTTTCTTATTAAATTTGTTTTTTTTTCTTAACAAAAATTTAATATTATTTATATCAATGTAATTATTAACAAGAAATAAAGCAATCATAAAAAAATTAATAAAGTTTACAATGATTTGTAACTTGTACATTTACGATATTGGACAGAATGTAGGGTCCAGCGACGGGTTAATGGAATATCGTAAATCGCTTCCGAGAACTTTCTGTTGGCTTAAATTGGTCACACTGCTTATCAGCCAAGAATTGCATTAGTTTTAAAAAAGTTTCATATATTTAATTGGAACATTAGACAGCCAAATCCGAGAATTTCGTCGCGGGGCTAAGGGTCAATGCGCAGTCAGCCCCAGCGGTTGACACCATAAACGATAATCACAAAAGCTGTTCTGCCACTGGGTGAGATTTCTTGTTTACGTTTACGTGTCACTTGAATGGGACTCTGAGATTTCCGGACCGTGAACTGATTGCCCTCATTGTATATTCTAATTTACAGCAAAACGGATGCCAAACTGGCACATACGGGGAGCAGTATGCGACGCAACAACTATCCATATCAGCCCCTGAACCACCAGCCATCGGGACCGAGTCCTGCGAGCCACGATTCCTTGGAGGCGGAAAACGAGCAGGCGGCGGAGGAGCTAAAACAGAAGATCGGAGCCCTGAAGTCCCTTACCATCGACATAGGAAATGAGGTGCGCTATCAGGATAAACTTCTGCGTGGAATCGACGACGATATGGACCGAACGAGTGGTTTTCTGGGCAACACGATGACGCGGGTGCTGCGGTTGGCCAAACAAGGCGGTGGTGCCCGCCAGATGTTGTACATGTTTGCCTTCGTCCTCGTGGTTTTCTTCATCCTCTGGATAACCCTCAAGTTCAAATAGTTGTTGCTGATTTTTATAAAATATATACCAACAAATTTGTATTGTTTAGTGTAGCAAAAGAGCTACAAGTGTTTTGAGTGTCCACAAAGTGGTTAACTTGCAGCTCACGTTGCAAATGAACATTTACTTGTGCAGAAATAGCGAGGGCAGCATCAACAACTTAACTATTATTTTAAATTTAAAAGATGACAAAAAAATTCGATATTCAAATCTACTCAATATTTTTTGACTGAAGTCCCTGCTGGGACTAATATCTGGGCGATTCAATATTATGAATAGTTTAGTTAAAATGAATTACCGACTCATATAAATGACTTAAGAATAAAAAACATTCAATTATTATAATATACATACTTACAATTTTAGCTTAGCAACCGTTGGAGTACAAAAACTGTTTTATAAAAACAACTAATCTATTCTACTTGTTAGCCAGACATCCACGAAATCAATATTCAGTTGATTTTAAAACAAAAATGAATGTTTTGTTTTAAAATATGTACTTACATCTTTTATTGTTAGCGCAGAAAATGTTAATTTGCTCAAAGTACAAAAAAACACGCATACAAATTAAGGTAGAGTGGGTGGGTTACAGGATGGACTTACAGCTAATGATGATTATGAATTTTGGGTTTGTTTCAGTTTTCATTTTCACTTATTTTGATCGAATTAGAATTGATTTGAATTGGAAACAATTCCTTCACAACTTTGGGGGGCTATTGCTTTGGATAACACAACTCTAAGAACTGTAAACTTAAATCGAAAATATTCACAATATTGATGAAAGCGAAAACCGGAACGTGCTACTACGCAGCATTTTGAGCTGGAAAAGCGGCTATGCGTGGAAGGTCTTCATCTTTTTATTTCGTCTACTAAAGTCGGGCTGATCAATTTCATCGTCATCGGCCTCCTCGCTGCCCAATTCATCATCGCTGAGAAATTCCGAGAAGTGATCGTCGTTTGGACCTTCTAGGGCTCGAACTGAAAAATATAGAAAGGAGTCCTTAAAGTATAATGCGCAAAGGTGGTGTCAAAACCAAATTTACTTTGTTGATCTAACAGGCTGTTTTGCTTCTTGATCTCCTCGATATCCTTTTGGTTTTCACTGATCTTTCGCCTCATCGTTTGTATGCATTCGGTGGTCTTTTTCAAGATCTGAGCTCGGCTCGCCTGTAAAACCAATAGCGTTAATCTTTAGATATAGCTTAATCCCAGTATTTTCCCACTATTTACGGCCAATTTTCTGATTTTCATATTTAAATAATCCATTTTTTGTTCAACTTCCTTATGTATGTTAGTTAGCATCATAGGATATTCTTTTAAATTGAAACCAATTATCGTCCAGTGATGTTATCTTAAAAATATTTATTTTCTTGGTAGGTTCTGTTTCCTTGACATCCCCTTTTGTGTTCAATTGTCAATTTTCAACTTGTAGTCCCAGGATCACCTGTTGTTCTACAGTACCTTTTCGCCCTTAAGCGTGGGCACAGCCTCCCGAAGATTGGTGAAGCTCTCCTTGATGTGATCGCGCCGTCTTCGTTCCAACGCATTGTGATGTGCCCGCTTTTCAGCCTTTGAATACACAATATATACATAGATATGTGAGTAAGCAATCCAATCGTGCATACAGCAGAGTTCAAAATAATATTACAGAAAGATGATGAAAGAATACAAACATTTTGAAAGATATAATTTAATTTTTTGAGGGCTTATACAACAAATAACTTTTTTTTAAGCATATCTTATTGTATTCAATATTTTCTGTTATTAATTGTTTTTTTTTATTGAATTACTATTCTAATTTTTTTAAGTTTCTTTTGGTAACTTTAACAATCGGTATATCAACTTCTTTTGTTTCGCCTCTTAAGTCGACTCCTATAATAATGAACTTGGCTGTATGCAAGCACCACTTGATAGCAACAACCACATGTGCGTTCTGTTTATCAACAAAAGACAATGTGCGCAGTCGCTTCTTCTTTATTGTGGGATGTATTGATAGTTACCTGGGTGAAATTTGCAGTGCTTGTGTGTCGCGAGGAACCCAATCCATTATCGGAGTCGCCATCGTCCTTTAAAAATCATTATTTTGGCATTAAAGACCGTGTACATATACGTATATAACTTTTGGCGATTTGCTTACGTCACTCTCAATATCAATGTCTCGGTCGTCGTCGCTCATACTCATATTGTTTCACTTGTTCTCAGGGTTTTCACGGAAATGCTTAATAAATAATTAATTGGAAGCTGGCAAAAAAAAAAAACACTGAGAATTTGATTGTGATTATTGTAAATAAGTCTGTTATGATGTTGTTGTCTGCTCACGTTATTCGACAGACAGTGTGACCGTGTCAGAGCGGTCAGAATATACTGCATTAACAAGATTCGTTTTTAAATTTCTTAATAAAGTAAGCTAATGCTACGTTTTAAAAACTTACGTTTTTAAAAGTTTTAAAATTTTTTATTTTAACTTTTAAACTTAAAAACTCTTGATTTATACATATATAAATTTGAAAAATGGACGTTACAAGACCAGTTTTCTTTATAAGTAATTTTTATTTCAGCTGCTAATTTCAAATTCTATTTTTAAATAAATTAAGTTAAAGAACATCGATTTCTGTCGACTTTGTTTTTTAAGTGAATTATAACTCAAAACCATTTCATTAACACAAGCGAAAACTACGATCGGCATTTGTCCTCAAAGAACCATAATCATCTAGCTGTTTAATATATCCACAATATTATCGATCAATAAGAGTGAATTATTGTTATAGAATTTCTATGAAATATTTCTATTAGTTTGATGTGGATATATTTTGTTTTTAAAGAGATAATAGACTTTTAACATTATTTATATTTGCTGTTTGTCTTGCAGCAGGCAGTCACACTTTAGCCGGGTAGAGTGACCGCACCATCCAGCGTGCGCAAAGCCAAAAATAGCGACAGCAGCCCAACTTGCAAGGAAGTTTTCCACATAGTTCCGACTTTTCGACACTTAAACCTAGACTATTTGATGGCTTTTCCCACCACAAGTGCCCAGCAAGCCGAGACGAACCGCAAGATACTCGAGGAGATACAGACAAAGAAGCAGTTGCTCGCGGGCGGGATCATAAACCTAGGACTGAGCACTACTAGTCAGGTATGATCGCTGTGGTAGCGAGTTCAGGGGGCCAACCAATGTAAGCTGGACTTTTTGCCCACAGATGCCCACTCCCCAGTTGCTGGGACAGCCAACGACAGTAAATCCCGATTTCCAGGTGGGCGTGGGCACCAATGCCACATCCACCGCCCGCTCTGCATTTAATCCAACGAGCTCTACGACTCTGGGTTTCTTTGTACCTCAGGATTCGTATTTTGGAAACAGTTTTATACCCGTGCTGCCTCGTCTGGAGCCGCTGCCGTCGCCCGCGACCACGCCCACCACCCCGAACGCCCCGGCCAGCCATATCGTTAGCAAATAGCCCGAACCACCATGGCCCGCATGAAGTTAAGGAAGCTGGAGGAGTATCTACAGGGTGTTGATGGCTTCGAGCAACCAAAGATCCTGCTGGAGCAATACCCCACTCCGCCCCACATAGCCGCCTGCATGGCCCATCATATGCAGGCCCAGCACGAAGACATAGAGGGGAAACTAATTGGAGATCTGGGCTGTGGCTGCGGAATGCTTAGCATTGCATCCACTCTCCTGGGCGCCCAGCTCACGGTGGGCTTCGAACTGGACGGCGATGCGGTGGACACATTCAGGAGCAATGTGGTGGAGATGGAGCTTCCCAATGTCGATTGTGTCCGGGCGGATGTTTTGCAGCTGGCGGGCAGCAAATGGGAGAAGTCTTTTGACACTGTGGTGATGAACCCTCCGTTCGGCACTAAACACAATGCTGGCATGGACATGCGATTCCTAGAGGTTGCCCTGCGGTTGGCAAATAAGGCGGTTTATTCCCTGCACAAAACGTCAACACGGTGAGTCTTTTCAATTTAAATTACCATGATGTAAAAAAATATAACTAAGAAGTTATCCATCTTGTCATCTGGTCAATAGGATACATTTTCTAATATCACTTCAAATTGAATTTATTTAGAAACTGGCGATGCATTCCGAGTTTTAATAAATTAAAAAATACTTGCAATTCCAATCTATGTCAATGAGGTCTAATAGATTAAATAGAATTGATGATGATTTTAATAGAAATAAAAAACTTTATGTAAACATTTTATCGAATCCATTGGGAAAGTCCTTTACCTGATTCAGAAATCGCTATAGGTATATTTTCTTCGCTCGATGGTTTCTTGTTTGTTATTGTTTTAATTAATCGCAATCGTTTTCCGTTTATTTTTTAGTGCTTACATCCAGAAAAAGGCCCAGGAATGGGGCGCCCGGGGCTCTGTGATCGCTGAACTTCGCTACAATATTGACGCCAGCTACAAGTTCCACAAGCACAAGTCCAAGGATATTGAGGTTGACTTCTGGCGCTTTGACATCAGCAAGGAATAATTAGGAAGAATTAACTCTGTTGCATTTAGTTTTGGACATTACGTATATTAAATTGTATCAAATAGGAAAACATTAAAATTGACCATATCTCTTTTCTACTCCACATTGAAGACAACGCCCTGGGCGCAGGCCAATTCGCCGGAGTGATTGACTGTTATTGTGGCTCGTTTGCAATACTGCTTCCAGGCATCCGATCCAGATTCGCGACCACCGCCGGTGGCCTTTTCTCCGCCGAAGGCCCCTCCGATCTCAGCGCCATTGGTGGTGGTATTAATGTTTACGATGCCACAATCGGAACCCTTCGCTCCGATCCACTTGAAGGCCTGTCCAATGTTCTCGGTGAAAATGGCCGAGGAAAGGCCCTGCTCTACTTCGTTGTTCCATTCGATCGCTTGGTCCACGTTTTTGGCCTTCAGGATGTACACGATCGGAGCAAAGGTTTCCCGATGGACGACGCTGGCATCGTGGGGCAATCCGGTGATCACAGTGGGTTCTACGTAAAAACCATCGCGCTGGATAACCTGGCCGCCGAAGGCCACCGTTCCTCCCAAGGACTTGGCCTCCTCGATGGCCACCTTGTAGTTCTCCACGTTTTGTTGGGTGTGCACCGGACCGACGAGAGTTTGCGCCTCCAACTGGTGACCAATCCTGGGAATAAGCTGCTTGTATTTGCCAACCAGCTCCTTCACAAACTGATCATGCAGCTTTTCGTGCACGATAATCCTCCTGGTGGTGGTGCACCGTTGGCCACTGGTGCCGATGCATCCAAAGAGAGCTGCGTCGAGGGCCATTTTAACATTGGCGGATTCATCGATAATGAGGGCGTTGTTACCACCCAACTCGAGGATGACCTTTCCGAACCTGCGCTGGACTTCCACGCCCACATCTCGACCAGTTTGACAGCTGCCGGTGAAGGAAACGAGATTCACCCGCTTATCGGCCACCAAAGACTGACCCACATCGGTTCCGCCCTGGCAGAGGGTGACTACCGGAGGAAGGTTGTTCCTGCGCAGCACATCCGCTACGATCTTGGTGGTGGCCACCGAAACCAACGGCGTGCTGGGAGCTCCTTTCCACAGCACACTGTTACCGGTGGTCAGGGCAATGGCCGCGTTCCACCCGAAGACAGCGTTTGGGAAATTGTAGGCCGAAATAACGCCCACCACTCCCAGAGGACGCCAGGCCTCCAGGATCGAATGATCGGCTCGCTCAGAGTTGATCAGCTGTCCGGAGTAAATCCTGGAGAGTCCGACCGCATAGTCGCAGATGTCGATGAACTCCTGAACCTCTCCCTGACCCTCGCTGTAGATCTTTCCCACCTCCAGGGAGACGAGCTTTCCCAGCGGTTCCTTGAACTTTCGCAGCTCATCTCCAATTTGGCGGACAATCTCTCCGCGCACGGGAGCGGGAACCTGTCGCCACTGCTTGTAGGCCTCCACAGCCAGTCCGATGGTCTGCTCCAGTTCCTGGACGTTTCCCTGTCGCACTGTGGCAATTGGTTTTCCGCTACCGGGGTCGTAGCTGGTGATGGATGGGCCTCGACCCTGCCAGTGACCAGAGTAAACACCTGGGTTATCCCGCTCGAGGCCCAATTCCTTCAGGAAACTGTATTCCGGCTGGTCAATCAGGAACGACGAGGTCGATGAATAGCTGGCGGATTGGGTGACCAGACGGCGGGGCAGCGCCAGCCGAGAAAGATTTCTCAAATGTGCCAACATGCTGCATAAAAGAAATTGTCATTCGAAATTTACTAAAAGCGAACACAAAGAGCAGCCTCTATCATTTGAATTTTTGAAAAGTAGATAAATTAACTTTAATTATAAAATTGTTAGACGAATTGCATGTGCTGTATTGCATCCCACTATTTTAAATAGAATTTAAATCTATCTTTTAGAAAATAATATAATTTTTTATTTATCTGTTTGAATCACAAGATTAAAGATTTAACAACTGCATACAAATTTTGAATAAGTGATCTAATATCCAATTGTAACTATAATAATTAGGCAATGAATCTGTTTAACACTAAAGTAGCATGTTTAGATTCAGTTCTGTATGAGAATTGGTTCTCTGGCGGAGGAGAACGAGAGGAGATTTATGGATTACTGATTACGACCTGATACCATTCTTATCGGTTGATAACAGCTCCGCCAGTTTTCTGGTTGCTGGCTGGAAAGTTTTTTTTAGATCCCCAGCAGAGCGGATCTACTGATACTGATAGCATCCCAATCGGGGCGGTACTCACTTGGTATAAGATTGGATCGGAAGAACGACTGCCCGACTCGCAAGTCAATTATCAACTGAGGGCAGATCTGAGTGCTGAACCAGCGGGACGAACCGGCTTTTGTGGTCAGCTTATCGCAGGCGTAAAATGAATTAAATGCAAAGAGAGAGGGTGGGGAACTGAGTTGGCGTCTTATCAACAACATGAAAAAATTGAGGGGTTGAGTGCAGCATGCAAAAAATAAAGCATACTTTCAGATGGTGAGTTTAAAGATATTTAAAATAATATTCTAGAAATCTCAATTTTATTTGAAATCTCAATTATTAATTGTCATATGCATCTTTTTCTTACAACATTTACTCAATGTATCCCTAAGTAGATATTACAAATGTTAATTTAAACCTTTAAAATCAAAAGAGACCTAATAAGGTTATCTATCCTCACTTGCGATTTTTGAGTTGTCGATTGTAGTAATCTGTTTGTTACTATGGCAACTAGTTAGCTTGCTAAACTGTTTGTTCGTTAGCCCATTTAAGCCGAAAATTTCACTGTTTGAAATATTTTATAAAGTTGATAAAAGTAAACAATATGGAGGTTCTTGAAGAGGGAAATTTAATGGACAGAGTCCCGATTTTATTACAGCGCGATCTCGAGTTTTACCAGGTATAACCTCATCAGTTTGCTTATCTCGCAAATTATCTAACTTATCTTCACAAATCAGACACATCAACGGGTACTTCAGGAACCAATTTGCTCTGGAGTTGTAGGTGGAAAACTGGATTTTCCTCGTTACGCTTCCTTTGCAGCTATAAAATTGATAAGATGGTGAGGTTATTGTTTGTACTAAAATCTGCGTTTATCTTAAACTCCTGTGGTATCTTGGAAATATTTCACCACATTTTTTAACTTTAAAAAAAACAAGAAAGGAAGCTAGCTTCGGCAAGCCGAAGCTTATATACCCTTGCAGTCATCAAATATGCCGAAAAAAATACTTAAAGGCTAAACAACATCGAAGTTAAGACGATTTTTCTATTCATTTTCCATATATTCGACTATAGATCATATGGGAGCTATATGATATAGTTGTCCGATTTTCATCAAATTTAATTCGTAATTCAAAAGTCGTTAGAAAACTTTAAATTTCAAAAATCATGCTTATCAAATAAAAACCAACGATGTTATAATTTTATTTCCGTTATTTCTATATAGATTTTTCGATCTTTCCTATGGCAGCTATAAGATATAGTTGTCCGATTTTTATGAAACTTTTTTCTCAATATAAGGGTTGTTAAGAAACTTGATTTTCAAAAAAACAAGCTCGTGGGATGAAAAACAACGATGCTACTAATTAATTTCCATTAATTCTATATATATTTTTCGATCTCTCCTATGGCAGCTATATGATAGAGTTATCCGATTGTGTTCAAATTTAATCCGAAATTCAATAACAGTTAGAAATCACCATCTTGAAGAATTCAAGTCGATCTGATCAAAAACAACAGAGTGAGAATTTTTAATTTCATTCTCTTGTATTGGAGCTATCCGATATAGTCGGCCGATCCGGCCCGTTCCGACTTATATACTGCGTGCAACAAATACACAACTTTTGGGAAAGTTTCAGCACGATAGCTTTAAAACTGAGAGACTAGTTTGCGCGGAAACGGACAGACGGACAGATGGACAGACGTACATATATATTTCGATTCTGCTCGTGATGCTGATCAAGAATATATATACTTTATGGGGTCTGAGGTGTCTCCTTCACTGCGTTGCAAACTTCTGACTGAAATTATAATACCCTTTTGCTCTGCAAGGGTATAAATATTATAAGATAAATATTTACTTAGGTGGGAAGATGAGTACTTTGCATCCTACCGAAAGCCTTCTGGACTTTTGCACACCGAAAAGGAAATGAACGAGGGTGATTTTGTAAGGAGTTTATGCTTGATAAAACTTGAAGAACTCTATATCTTTTCTCACCCTAGTCTACTGCCACGGTGAAAACCTCTGACCCGGAAAAGTTTGTGCAGCTGGTCACCAAATCGGCTGATTTACTTTTAGAGCATGTTCATCGCCTTTCTCAGGAGTCCTTGGATCACGCTGACTTATCTGTTCTAACTGCCACAATTGGAGCTGCTTCGCTGGTTAAGAACTCCCTGAGTGTTTATATGCAGGCAGCTACAACTACTATATGTCCCCCGAAGGGCGATGAAAAGGGAGGAGCCCTCAAGCTCAGTTTCAAGCAATATTCCCAGATGTCAGAGGCCTTGGCCGAGAGACTCCTGGATCTCCACTGCCGCCTCCTCTTACTCTACATAATGCAGGATGCCGACTGTCTGCATTGGGAGGACACTCAACCGTTTTTCGAGTCGGAGAGGGGTTCTTACACCGTTCAGATGTGGTGGCACTACATGAAGGGCTCCCAAGCCGATCTGTGGAACTCGGTGCCACCGAAAATGGCCCAAAAGATATTCGCCGGAATGCTAAACGAAACTCTGAGTGTACTGACCGTCCGGTACACCCAGATAGTAACTAGTGTGGCTCGATCCACTCTCCATTTGGTGGACATCTGCAACATGCTGCTCTGCATCGCCGAACTTCTGCCCCACATTTGCGAGAGTGGTGAGGCCTATGTGGGATTGCAGCTGAGCAACCAGAGTGTCATCCTGAGGGACATTCACGCGAAGTGCAGGGAGCTCTTCTACTGCCTCCTCCTCAGGGGATCTCCTTTGGGAGTGCTTTCGAAGGTAATCGTGGTTTTGGACTTAAAAAAATTACTGTCTTTATTTCAATTAAATAGATAATAATGGTGAGTTTAATTTATATAAGTTATTTACTACAAATATATTGTTTTTATTTCTTTACCCAATTTTTAATTTCATTTTTAAGGACTGAAACCAATTCTTTTTCATGACTTGAAGGTTTTCCGCAAGGGATTAGACAACATGGAAATGTTTAGCTCTCGTCACGGCTTGCCAAGTGCTTGGATAATTTTTGCTCTCCCCAGATATTTTCCTAAGGAGCAGTCCTGCCAGTGGGTCACCGAATTCTCCGACCTTTCTACCAACACAGCTATATCATTGGACTTGAGGGTCTTGCTGGCCTTTCCGGAAGCAGATTGGTCGTATCTGCTAAAGATTCTTCTGATGAGAGATGCCTATCTCACTGGCATTATAATGCGTCATCTGATGCAGCACTTACCTTCATCGGAGAACTTTAAGAATGTTGCAAAGATTTCGTTCACCAGCGCTGAAGGTGCTCCTCAAAAGTGTGAGGCCTTTTTGTGTCGCGGGGAGTGCTTCAATGTCACCGATTCCATAGCTGGGGATATAGGTGAGTTTGGGTGAACTTTAAATAAGTATTGCCTTTATTGCTATTTGCTTTACCAAACAGATCCCGTGGGTCAGTCCAACTATCAGATAGTGCTTTCACTAACTTATCTCGTGGTGGCTGTTGGCAAGGCGGTGGACATTAAGTCCTGTCTGATCAAAACCCTGGAGGAGCATGCGATCGCAGGCTGGAGCGACTGCCTGGACAAGCGGCAGGTGTGGAACCAGAAGCGAACTCCCTGGCTGGAGGCCATCATGCACTTCGTGTATCCCGTTCTCGATTGCGTCGTGGACATGCTGGTCAATGCCGTGGAAAACGGAGCCAGCATGTATCAGGCCATGTCCTTGGCTCTGACCTGCGTCTCTGAGATATGGGACTGCCTTCCCGAGGGACTGTACAAGATCGCCTCCTTGCTGCAGGATATCATCCCAGTTTCGACCAGGCCTTTGGGAGATTCAGTGCTCTTGCAGGTGGTCTTTGCAGCTCTGTACACAGAACTGATCAAAACAGCGGAAATGTATGAGCAGGGTGAGTATTCGAGTATGTTATGAGTTATGTGGTTGGACTAATTAGGTTTTTAATAACTTACAAATAAATATCAGTAATTGGCCTATTTTAATAATAATTATATAATTTTGTATAATAAATTAAAAGAGAGAGTCGTGTTTAATAATATACAATCTACAAAAAAAAAACTTTTACAATATAATATTATATCAATTTCAATAAATTTTGGTATCACCTTCACATAAACTCAATTCAAGCCAAAAACGATGACAAAGCAGCCATATGTTATTCCATATCGGAGGCCATTTGCTCAATCGACGAGGACGACAAGCACACGGATCAGATCGAACTGTTCCTGAAGCAGGCCAAGGAGAGCATCAACTTGGACACGGACTTCGGAGGAACCCCCGGGAGCAACAATCGAGGCGCCGGCGGGATGAGTGCCGTGAGTACCATCAAAATGGATGACCTGGCCCTGACAAATGCGGAATCAGATCGTCTGAGCCACAGTCCGCCAAATAACTACGCCATGGAACTGGATGTGGGAATCGCAGATTATATAGCCGAGGTTCTGGTCAGCGATGTTCTGACCACCAATATAGGGAAGCAGGCCCTGAAAGTCGTGTACAACTATTTGAAGTTCAACAAGGACTGGCTGCTCGAGCAGTTGGGAACGGGTGACAATGAACCGAGTCCTTTCCAAGGCGTCCAAGGTCAGAACATCAAGGAGGCCAAGACCTCGGTGCTGAGGTCCATGTTCTTCATCGGGAATACCCCCTTCGACCAGCTGCTCACGGGTTCCCTGAAAATCGACTATGTCAGTTGGCTCCAGATGCCGTTGTCCTTGAATCCGGAAAGGACCTGGCTGCATTTAACCAGGCGCTGCGACTTCCAGGAGGATGCCAAGCTCTCGCTGCCCGAGGTGGCCATGGTGGCCGGGATTTCAAAGATAATGAAGCGGCGCAAGGAGTTTCCCAAGTGAGCTTCGCGGAAGGCATCATTAGCATGGCTGCACTTAAAGAAAAAAATAAATATCTGCATTCAACGATAATTAAATAAAAAAGCATAAAACAAATAATCAAGTTAAACCCCTAAGCAATAAAAAAAAGATTGATCTTTAAAAACCCCAAATATTATCAGATAATATTTAATTTAATTTTAACAACAATAAATTATAGCTTGATGTACTAAATTAAGCTTAAAGTTTAAGTTTCTAATTGGATTTTTAAGTCAAATATTAGATTATTATTATTATATTTAAAAGTATGTTTAGCATCGGACAACCTTAACTTAACTCTACACCAATTAAATTGAAGCAAATTTAAATAAATTTAAACTTTAGCTAACCGCCTTTTCCAGAAGTGAATTTTTCTATCCTAGGACATTGAGGGAAATTAAATTTTCTGAGTGCGGGGCAGCTGTGAATTATGTTGTAGACAGTGGCGACAGTAGAGGGTTTCCTCGGGGAGCGGCTTGCCACTTTGGATGTCATTAACGCCGCATAATGCAAACAAGTCTGACGATAGGCACCTTAGCAAATGCACAGCACAATAAGCGAGGGGGGCTAAAAAAATATTTACTCCTGCTCCCCCAGAATTTTTCCCCGTTTAATATATATGAGGTTGGGGGATGGTGTGGCAGCCGAAAATGTTTTTGTCCACATTCTGCGTAGTCGCCTGGCACTTGGCAATTGCTCAGCTCTGCTCCTGGTCTTCTTTTGAGCTTCTTTTCGTCTCCTGCCTCCCCGCTCCTCCGGCAGCCAGTTATGAAAATTACTGAAACGTGGAGGGGGGGAGAGAGGGGGTGTCGGAAGGACCAGCAGGACGAAAGCAGGCACACACGGGTCCACACCAGCAATAGCAACAACATGAGGGGCATCACACACAGGACAACGTGACAAATAAAATCAAGGCAGCATTGCTAAGAAGCGCTGCAGGACTTTAAAGGCAGGACCAATGCGCTACAACCTAAAATAATGGTCCATTGCATTAAACAATTTAAGCTTTAAAATATTTATTACTATTTAATTTAAGTTTTGAAAAACAATTTATGGTGGTCAGAATTTAAAATTTTTATTTAACACATTTTAGGAAATTCAAAATAAAGTAAAGGGTTAGGTATTAATTAAATTTTAGCAAAAGACCTTATTTACTTTATTAACCAATATCATCCAAAAATGTAATTAAGTAAATAAGCGTACTATTTTCAATTTGCACAAAATGATTGTAACACTGAAGCATTTAACACTTATGTTATTTCATAATTAAATCACATCTCAGCAGATAAAGATGGATAGTATTAAAAACGAAACAACAGCGGTAAACCTAAGTTAAAAGAATTAAAAATAAATTTCTCAATTATCAACCATATTCAATGTTAAAACCAACTCATTCATTAAAAATATCCGCAAAAACAACAAATAAATAATCTCGTTTTCCATAAATCTCAGCGTAAAAAGCTGCTTTTTGTGAAAAGCATTTAAAAGGAAATAAACACGAGTGTCCTCTCGTAACAAATCAACTTAGCCGTTTCAAATGCAGCGCCGCCCCATTGGCTGGCATTTGGCTACAAAGTCAGTGGCAGTGGAAAAGCAGCCTCAGCGGCGACTGTGGATCCCGACTCCGAAAATAGAAACGATTCCTTGCTGGTCCTTTCATTCAGTTTCATTCAGCTGGCGCTGCTGGAAGCGTGCGGACGTTCGTTGTTTACAGCTCGGTCATAAAGTCAAGTGGCAAAGTGGCACCTCACAAAAAATAACAAAAAAAGAAAAAAATTTAACAAAAATAAAAAGAAAAATTGAAACTCAAAAAAAGAACGTGCGGGGGCAAGGTGCAAATGGTAACGGTAATTTGCAGACATTAGTTGCTACCAACACACATACAAACGGAGCGGTGATTAAATGCTTTGGGAGGAGAGGTGCGAAAAGTGTCACATTACGCATACGCAGCGTATGGCCAAGCTAAATGCTGAATTTAAAAGCACAACGAGCGGTTCGAGTCGGAATTGAAAAATGAAAATGTTTGTCGTAAAGTTACTTGGCCACTTAGTAAGCCAAGCACGTAGTGGATTTTTGTGATGTGGATACGGCTCTTTGATTGTTTTATTAGCGTTTCCGTTGGACAGTTACCAAACGTGAAGTGCGAGTTTTGAAAAAGATTCTTAAAGAAATGTGGGATTATACAGAGATAACAATAAAAATAAAGGAAATAAATGTGCTTAAGAAATTTAAGGTTATGGCTTGAATAACATACAACAAACAAAAATACAACTCACAATAAAAATAGTTAATCAGCTATGGCATTGTTGGCCTGACTTGAGTGCAATAAATAAGATATTAATAGCCGTAATAAATCCTAAAAAGTTCGTAGAAGAAGTAAAACACGTACCCGAGGTTAGCCATGAGCCAAATGCAACTGCAGACGCAGCGCGTTCGCCGTGGACGTCACCATCACCGCCATCAGTCCGCAGAGCCTTGCGAGTGTTTACGTCCTGTGATAAGAGTTTTTGGTCTGCTGACTTCATTCGGTAAGCCCAAGTGCCTGGAAATCCATGCCAGTGAAATAAAATTCCCCAGTGCTCAGGTGACCCCCCGTCTCCAGATAATGCCAATCACGATATGGGGTTATGATGCATGTGCCTTAATACTATATACGTGTTTGTTCGTGTATGTATATATGCATGTGCAGAGCGCTTTTGGTCCTTTTCGGAATGTTTACTCTTGACAAATCGCAGGAAATGCCTGCGCATAGAAAGCCTCAGGATATGTTGAGTGCTGTGGCTTATTATATTTCTTGGCACTGAATGGAAATTGCAATGCTGAATAGGAAAATGTTCTTATTGGCTTCTTGTATTGTTCCTTTCAATAAAATCATCTTATTTTTTCTTGTTTACAAAGGTTCTGTTTGTTTTTTTTGGCCAGAATACGAAGAAAAAATGTGAAGAAAAGACAGAATATTTTCTTAATTCTTTCTGAGTATCTGCTTAATTCTTAATATTGTCTACATCAATTTGATTAAAATTTCTGAAGTGCTTCTGTTAAACATAAGTTAAGAACAACTTAATTCTGAATGTATTAAAAGTCTGCATATTTAACTACATATTTTCTTTTTTTTTGTGATTTTGCCTGGAAAAAAAGAGGTTATTAAATTGCACAACAAGCCGCATTTCTGTGGCATTTGGTTTTAAGTTCTAAAAGAAAATTTAATTATTCGCAACAAAAAGTAAAAAATGTTATAAATTAACGCAAATATTTTTCAGCAAGTAATCAATTTCCATTAGAAGCATTTATCTATAAATTTTCCGTAATTTATCTGCATTCCAAACTGAGAAAATGCAATCAAGTTTTTTCATTGAGTTTTTCCGTCCATCTGCTGCAGTTATCAAAGTTGGCTTAAACGCTTATCACGGTCAATCATAACGGTTTTCCGGCACCATCTGACTTTTCCCAAATGCGCTTTAAATTTGCACCCCCGTTTTTTTTTTTTTACGAATTTGATAAATTGCGGACTGCAGAATAACGAAAAGTTTGGGTCAAGTTCAAACTAATTTCTTTGCAAATTGTTTTTGGGTCTATTATGGATGCAGAGGCACGCAGAAAAACAAAGTATAAAGCCTGACGTAGTTCATAAACCTTGCAGGATGCAGAAGAAGCAAGGGGATTCCCAAGGAAATTCTCTGGTGGAGCCATTAACAAGGCATTGGCCTCTATGCAGCTTGCAGCTCACAGCTCGCATCCTGTGCCAAGAGCAGTATTTTCCCCGCCCGATTTCCCCCTTATCAGCAACTTTTCCATACGGTCGACAATGAGCTTTGTTGTTAGCCTTTCGGCGCCAGCCATTCGCCAAGTTTCCCCTCTTTCCCGGTATCTATTTTCCCTCCATCGCTTTCAATTATCCACATAATTTTTGCATGTTTTTTCGATTTCCGCTTTTTCGATTTTTTCCGTTGACAGCATTTAATGTAATTGGTTTGGTTTTGGCTTGGCGATTTTGTTTAAATGTGGGGCATACATCTAACTGGCTTAATCTGATTGGTTTTTCGCGGCTCGGCATAATAAAAACAACTTAATTAGATCGGGTTTTTATGGGTAAAGGGCGTGGTGGCTTCTTCGCTCCATATTTTACACATCGGAAGTGGATTTTCTTGAGACAAAATGGGGGACCCATAATGTGGTTAGAATATGAATATTTAGAGGGCTGTTTGACAACATTCGCGAAGCGTGATACAATGAGTTCACAAGTTGAAAATCTTTAATAATAAAATATACCTAGAGACATATTACCATTTTACTTTAATTATAATTTTTAATAATGTATGTAATAATAAAATAATTAAATTTCTATAACTATATTGTTACTAGGGCTATAATAATTAGTTTATGCTTGTAGGGCTGGGGTCAAATGATGAAAATAATAGATTAAATTAAATTAAATTACAGTGGATCAATTTAAACAAATATGTTTGAAGTCAATGGAAATTCTGTTTATATAGCACAGAACTTCTTATACCCACCTCGTTTCTTTTCATTGGTTTTGTATTACATTTTATGGCCCAAGCTTGGTAAACAAAAAGCCCCAACTCAATAAATATGCTTATAAATATATTTGCCTAGACGAAATCACATTATTTTATAGGCTCATTCAAGGATAACAATCCCCGTTCCGACCCGCGGACAAAGACCCCCCGCATCGAAACTTTCTAAGCCATTTTTCATTTCAGTTATCTGCGGCGTTGGCGTTGATGTCTACATGCATGGCTACCAGGCCGGTCTTTATATAGTGTAAGCCAAAGATCAAATATCCGCGGGAAAATATTAATTTCTGGTTAGTTTTTCAGCTGTGCTGGTAATGTTCATTGAGATCAAGTGGCTCGTGACAATATTTTTGCAACTACAGTGCTCAGAGTGGGTATAAAATAATGGTTTTATTGTTACTTATGCTGTTAAATAAGTCAGTTTAAAATATAAATTAAATAATTGAAAATAGAATACACTTAATTAAAAAAAAATCACAAAAATATAGCCCCTGCTTAGTTTCATAACTTTAGCTATTACCATCTCGTTGATTATCTTGAATTAAACTGAATATTTTTCGCAGTATCATCTATTTCCTTAAATGTCCCTATACACTTGTTTATGGATTTAATTTGTTCCAGGGATAATTACCATCGGAGGTCCTGTAGCTGCCTGGCCTGCTGGCGCCTTTCAGCGATTTGCGGCGGATGGAGACCCACTCCCGTTTATGCGGTCATAGGCATCTGCCTGATACTGTATCCCCACAATCTGTGGCTTAGTTATGTGGCCGGGATGTTCCTGATACTCCTCGGAGTCCTCAGACTCTGCACGCTGCTCAGATTCAGTCCTTCGAAGGAGGAGGGCCTCCTGCCGCAGTGCGACTTTGAAAAGTGATGGCGGAGTGCGAATATCGTTGTTATTTGTTTTTAATGTCTGTTTGCTTTGTGTTGATAGGGTCTCCAGCTTTGTGGATAATATGGAGGACGATTTCGCCGAGGTTAGCGCCTCGCAAGCGGCCTTGGAGGACGAAGCGGAGGTGGAGGGCGACGACCACCCCGTCATGGATGATGATGTTTGCTAATAGTTGATATACTCGTATTCCACTTTTCGTTCTCCTTGGAGACTTAAGTTACCGCGTTTGCTTTATGTAATGTGAGATTTTAATTATCGAAAAGATGTCTATTAACGTACGGTTTATAAAAAGGTTTCGAATGAAAGTTACATTTTGGTTTTTTCTGCATTGTTAACCCTTGAGAATTCAAGTTAATGTGGACAATCAAATTCGAAGGGCTGCTTTTTTGTTATAATTAAAACAACCTTGAAGTTACAATCAGTGACTATGTTCAATATTCATGTTTTATTTTCAAAGAAAAGAGCATGAGATTCTTATATCTCTATAACTACTTTGTTTCATCATTTATGATAGGCCAATTGCTTATGGGATCCTTTGTTATAATTTTAGTCAGCACACAGTAAAGAAGTCACCTCCGACAATAGGTATATGGAATAATATACATCAGTTTTACCATCCGAGTTAAAAACGTTGTCCGTTTCTCCGTCTGTTTGTTTCTATGCAAATATGTCTCTCAGTTTGAAGTTTTTGACTTAACAAAAAAAAAGCAAAGATCAGAACACTATTTTATTTCTTAAAATATGTGTACATTTTATATAAAACCAAGAATGAAATCTAGCAAAACACTATCAGAACTTAAATATTATATATAAAACTACTAGAATTCAAAATTAAATTGCTTTCAATTTTTTCTAAGGCCACTATTTGATGTAATAGTAAAGAACTTATTTTTTTTATATCTATTATTATAACGGAGTGGAAAATGATAAAACGATTTTTCCATATTTTCTGTATTTTTTTCGATTCTACAATCTATATTTTAAACTGTTTTCTTGATTTAAGCGTACGTAAAAAGCTCCATGTTCCGAAAATAATATATGATAAAAAACAACGAGGTTACAGTTTTTGTTCCGTTAATTATAAAAAGATTTGTTAACTATTTCAATGATAAAGTCAATCAATTCGAACGAAATTTAATTCAACGGGATGATAATGATTTTTTCCTGAATTTTTTTATCTCTCCTTTGGGAGCTATACGCTGTAGTTTCGACTTATTCAGTGCATGTAATTACATTTGGTAAGGTTTCAGCAAGATGGTTTTAAGCTAAAAGACTAGTTAACATAGAAACAGTCAGACGGACAGACGTCCACGACTAGATCGATTCAGATGGTGATGCTCTTGACTTATGAGATTTGAAGCATCTTCTTAATTGCGTTGCAAACTTCTGACTGAAATTATAATAACATCTTGCTTATTATCCAGGCAAAGATGTATATGTAAGACATTATATTTAATAAGATCGGAAGGCTATATCTTATTGCCGATATGCTTAATGAATGGGAGAGGATATTTACCTTCTGTTAAACATATCTAAATCTTCGGGTGCTCTAATTTCGTTTTTTTTTGTTCAGCATTTTCTTGATCATTAACATATCCTAATTTTATAGAGCCTATTTACTTCTCATTTCCTCACTAAACATATATCCCAGTCTTCATATATTATTACTTTTTTAATTTCGTCTTTTATTGGATTTTGTGGTGAATGGATTCCTATGATGACTAAAGGCCAAGATGATGGGTTGGCCACTGTGATCGTCATCCAAAAGGCTAAATGATCGCTCATTTCCGTAGTCACCGTCCTCGTCATAATAGTAAGGATCGTAGTACCTTGGGGGTCCTACTGGACCGCCTCCATTACCTCCGTTTCCGTTTCCAGGCCGTGGTCCTGGTCCTGGTCCAACTTGTGGGGGCGGAGGAGGTGGTGGGTATGGGTACGGGGGGGTAGGGATACGATCCTCCAGGATATCCAGGAGGACCCTGCGGACCCGGAAGTCCAGGCATTCCGGGGTAGCCCTTGTCTCCCCTGGGACCCTTCTCTCCGGGTTCGCCCTTGGATCCCTTTGGTCCGGGGTAGCCCTTCTGTCCAGGTTGTCCAGGTGGACCAGGCGGTCCTGGAGGTCCCGGTGGACACTGACAGTGTTGCGGCTGAGATGGAGGGTACGGATAGCTGGGCTGATACGCTGGCGGATGGTGGTGATGGTGGTCGTACTCCTGTTCGATGATCACTTCCTGGGGCGGTGGAGCAGGAGCAGGACTGCTGGCTTGAAGGGTAATGAGCCGGGGAACAGAGACATCTTCCTTGGCCTTAACTCCACCAGAAACAGACAGCAAGGCTGCCAACAATATAATCCAGTTCGCAGCGCGAACTCTCAGATGCGACGACATGCTGTAAACTAGCCAAAATCAGATCATAGTCACTTCTTTTATATGGACACAACGACCTGAAGAATGGCGATAGAGAAGAATCATTCAAACTACCGTTAAAATAGCTCATTTGAGATTTATTTGCCTTGTTGTTAGTTTGTTGTATATATATTCACATTATGCAAATCCCCCTTGTTTAATAAACTAAGCCAACTATTAATAAAGTGTGTATAATTTACATAAAAATCAATGAATACGTCGAGTTCTTGAGCTGTTGAAAGAACTTTCACACTTAATGTGTGTTGTTCTTTGTGATTGAGCCATGAAAAGTGAATCGTCATTCTATGTCGACTGAAATAGTTTTATAAATGAGAAAGGGTAAAATAAATAATGCGAAAACAGCAATAATCATCCCATAAACTTCAAATGGAACTAGAGCAATGGCTTTCATTGGGAGTGTCCAGATTATGATTCAAATACTACATTTTCACTTACCTGTGCAAAAGTTTATCATTTTTAAATTTTCGATATGGGTTTTGGGTTGATTTTTCCCCCCAACTGCCAGCTGGCTTTCATTCTGTTTCCATGCACAAAAGAAAACACATTCAAGACATGAAAAAATGCCTGTTCGCATTATTATTTTATTGTGGGTTTTATTATTCTTTTGTTAGTGTGGAGTGGAACTGATGCTGACAAAAGCCCCGCCTACACAAACCTTAACAAATGTCTGTTTTTTGGGCAGATCTCATAACATTTTTTCGCACTTCTCGCGAAATACTCACGCTTCAGTCTAAGTCATTCGGTTTGGGGGACTTTTGTAATTTTTATTAGGGTTTTGCTACATACATTAACATATGTAAATAGTTGTAACTTTTAAAGTTCGCTTTTATTTGTTGCTGCTTTCTTGTTTTATACATGTTTGCTATGCAATAAACATATTAATTGGTATTTTATTTTAATCATATATTTTGTTTAACTATTTATCTCTCTTATTCGTGTTTTCGGCTAGAAAACCTTGAGGTAGCTGCGTTTGCAATTAATTGTTAAAAGTATTCGTTTGTCAATCCCTGATATAGGCTATTTAAGGTTCTGTGTGGATAAGAAGAGCTCTAATCGTTTTTATTATTTAAAAACAATGATAAGTAAAAGAATCAACCAAGGAGAAATAACTAAATTTTATATTTATTTTATTGTGTTTATATATATTTATATAATATTACGATATATATTACGAATCAACATATACATAAAGAATAAGAAATCGTTTAAATTAGAGTTAACGAATATTAAAAAAATCAAGAGATTTATCAACATTTAGGAGAAACAAAAGCTGAGGTTTGTCTGTTGTCAGATGGTTGAAAAAGGATTTCCAATCGGGGTAAAAAGATCATTGGCTTGGAGTATTTCCTTTGGGACTGTTGAAAGTCAAAAGTGTCGCAAAAGTAAACTCGAATTGACTAGATAATGGATGTTGGTTAGTTGTAGTTAACTTTTGATGTCGTCTCTGTGCTCGAACGGATCCGTAAACGAGGCTACAAAACTTTCTTATAGTTGCTCTTACAAAAAGACGAGAATATGAATGGTGCTAAGCTCGTAAACTTCCTCAGTATTGCTGCTGAACTAAGATTAATAGGAATTAATCTTCTCACAAAAACTATGTATTTAAGAGTACATCAACTGGCAGAAATCCAATCTTGATAACCCGACCTGGAAACTCTTTTTCGCTACAAACAAACCCGGGAACAAACCAAATGAAATTGGGAAAGAATTGAAAACAGAAGAAGACATTGAAGAAACTGATCTGATTTTTAGTTTGTTATCACTTGCTCTTCTTATAACATACGACTAACAACTATCTTTGGGATTCATTCGAACTTTGCTGGCTTCTGTTCTTTTTTTCGCACTACTCTGGTTTGTCAATTTGATTTTTGTGGCGCTCTCTTAGCTTTTCAGCTCCTCTTCCTTTTCTCTAACCCTTCACTCCTTTTCGCTCTATAAAAATACAAACAATGATTGCCCTTTCAAGGAAGGGAAGGGCGATTCGATTTATCGGTGTGCGAGAACTTATAAATTCCAGGGATAAATAGTTTTGTAGACAGTTCTAAGCCACTTTCACTATGTAACAGCAGGTTGTGGTCGCTTGACATGAGTTGAGTTCTCATCTGAGGTGTAAACAACGTCATTAAATCGGGATACCATCCATTAAAGCTATTATATAGCAAAATCCAGACGAGAACTCGGCTCGTGTAAAGGGATCTTATAAAAACATTGTTATTCAATAGATAGTTATTTTGAATTTGCATTTAGAGATTCTTGGCCTAGAGTGTTCTCTGCACGTATTTCTAGAATTGTCCAAAAAGTACTTATGTCCAACCGGAATTTCTAGTCAAAAATCGACTCGCCCCACTGAAGAGGTGGCCCAACGAGGGTAGGTATTCTGATCTGTGATCTCCGAGGGGGATTCGAGTTCTTGCGGGGACCTGGACACGACGTCAAGGAACGGGATGAGTCCCGGACCTTGGTGTGGTGCCGTCGGGCTGGGGACTGGTAGGTAGGTAGGTAGTTAGGTAGGTAGGTGGGTGGGGTACAGTTCTGGAGGGCTTGCCAGTGGCCCGTCGCCACCGCCCACCGTCTTAGTAGAAGGAGCTGCACCAGGCATCGCCCGCCGTGGGGCTTAGCATTCCGACCAGGCTGGCCACGTGGCCGGAGGATACGGAGCCAGTCGCCACGGACGGCGGCGATACCGATGAGCTGCCGGCGGTGTGCGTCGAGCTGGGCAGACACTGGAAGCAGTAGTTGGCCCCGTAGTTGTTGTCCCAGAACTGCTGGCCCTTGCACTGGAACCGCACGGCGAACTCCAGCCGCTGGCCCACGTGCAGCGAGTTGCCGAACAGGACGAAGGTGAAGATGTCCGAGAAGCCGTCGCAGGAGTTCTCCACGTAGTTGGCCTGCAGGTCCGCGTAGCTCCTCCAGCCGTCCAGCGAGTAGCGGATGTGCACCGACTTGTGGAAGTCGAGGTTGCGCACGCGCACCGACCCCGAGATCGTCTGGTTGATGACGTCCGACACGGCGGCGTTCTCCAGCGACACCTGCTTCTCCCTGACGGCGTCGAGGAACTTGGGCAGGCCGCCCGGCTGCTGGAACAGGGGCATCAGCAGCTTGTCCGACTTGGGGCCCAGCTGCAGCGGCGGCTCCGACTCCAGGATCTCGAGGTCCTCGAACGCCGACTTCGGTATGGTGGGTATCTCGTCCAGGAAGGTCTTCACATCGGCCAAGTCCAGGCCGAGCACGTCGGCGAACCGCACGATCTTCTTGCGCCCCGGAGTTCCCGGCGGAGTCTTTCCCGTTTTCAGCGAGGAGCAGCGCCTGATCCTCTGGGGTCTGCAGTCGTCCTCGTCGTCCGTGGTGTCGATGCCGTGGCTCTGGGCGCCGCTCTTCTCCACCGCCTCGGTGGCGTCCTGCTTGGCCTGTTCGATCTGGGCCAGGTCGACGTTCACGGTGAGATTGCTGGCCGACTTGTCTGTCTCATCCACGCCGCTGTCCGGCGAGAGTTCCGCCTCCCTGGCTTCCACAACAGTTCTGTCCGGGGAGGTGGTTTCCTCTGTGGGGGTTGGCTCATCGGAGGTTTCTGGGGGCGATTGGCAGGAGGTTTCCTCCTGGACTGTGTCTTTGGCGGCTTCCTCTTGAACCCTTTCGTCGGGAGTTTTCTCTTGCAATCTGTCGTCAGGGGTTTCCTCCTGAGTCCTCTCCTGGGAACCTTCTTTTTGAACTCTGTCGTGTGGCAATTCTTCTTGAGTAACCTCTTCTTCGGTGGTCAAGCCTGGAGCTTTGTTTGTAGTACCAGCTACCAACTCCAGGCCATCCTTCAGCTCTGGCTCCTCTCCTTCCTCAAGATGCCCATTGCTGAGCTTCTCCTCCTCCAACTTTGCTTGTTCCAGACTTGCTCTTCGACTGTGCTGCTGGAGCTCACTGAGGATCTGGGCCTGCAGGAAGGCCTCGTCCTCCACATCCTTTCCAGCTGGCTCGTCCTCCTGCACTCCGTTGACGAGTCCGTGCCTTCCGTTTATCTGTAGCGTGTTCGCATACTCCTTGAGTTCCGAGGCTGGCAGCTTTTGGTCCTGGGCAGCTGCAGCTGTGGATGTGGAAGCGGATGCGGATGCGGATGCGATTGCATTTGCGGATGTGGATGCAGAGGCATCGAAGTAGGGACCATCGGTGCTGCTGCTGTGACTGCTGGCCATGGACGCGCAGGCGTAGCCCGACTCCGCCGTGGAGTTGTGCGGCGTATTCGAGGCGGTTTCGATCAGGCGCAGGTACTCGCACTCGTCCACCGGACTCCCCGGCGACTCCAGCTCGCAGTCGAAGTCGAAGAAGGAGTCGGACTCATGGCGCAGTGGCTGCAGGTCCGTCACCGTCTGTTCCGAGTCGTGGGAGTTGACCCACGTGTTCGTGCTGGTTCCATTGATGATTGGCTCATCCTCCGCGTTGCCCTCGCCCTCCTCGGTTGTCTGCGGGAAGAGAAGAGGTCTTAATAAGAATTACTTATGAAAATATATTGTAAAAGCACTGAAGATCAGTACGGCTAAGCATTCGTGGGTGCAGACTTAGCCCCAATCTTAAATCCCATTATTTAGAAGAAAGTCTTACAGAAATTGAAGCTAATATATAATTGCTCATCAATGTCATCCATTTTTAATATATTTTGTGAAATATTAATTTAAATACCATATAGGTTTCGAAACATCAACTGAACTATGTTGATTAAGTACTTCTTAATAAAATTGTTTTAATGAAAAAGAATATTGTACTGTTGTATTGTAAATATTGCTAGCCTACATTAAGTTAACGAGTACTTGATTGGGAACCTACTTTATAAAGATTGAAAGTGCTCACCTGTGATCCCAAGGTGCGCAGCTTGGAGGACAGACTCCGTGCGAATGCCTCGGCTCTCCCGCGACATGAGGACATCCCAATGGTTGGTATGATGGAGATGATGCTGCAGGGCGGCCTGCTGTCCGGCGTGCTCGTGTGTGTCAGGGGAATATCGCCTGGATCGTTCATTTACGTCACGTCAGCTCACGATCGTGTCGATGCAGCCGATCTGCGGAATATCTGCAAATATAGTACCATCGGGATGCATGACGTGAGTTATATATTGGAGCACGATGAGACATTTTTGAGTAAACAAATAAATTCGCACGAAATGTTGTTTTCCATCACTTTCCCTTTCCGCTTTCACCGTGTTTTCGGTGGCATTTTAAAACAGCTGAGGAAATATCTTATGCAGTATACTATACATGCTTTTATTATCCCCAGCGCATTTCTCATTTTTCTTTCGTTGCCATGGTTTTTTATTTGATTTAGTTGGTTGTCATTAAAATTTAAATATACTGACTTTTGAAAGATTCTGTCGGTTCAATTTGTTCTGCTCTACCAAAATGTGCACAACTCTGCCGAATTATTATGACAGTTTTGAGCTCTCAAATTCTTCGCAAATATTTTTTCAATGCATTATATTTAATGTGCCTAAGCAGTTGTTTATTGGTAATGAATAAATCAAATTTTAAACATTTAAATGGAAAGTATTGCATTTTGTTAATTACGTTGTTTATTATAAAAAATAAAACCAATTTTAAACTTGATGAAATATATTTCGATGTCAATAAATATTTTTTAAATGTAATAAAACTAAATCTGTATTTGATTGACCGCTACTAGCAGTCAAAAAAACTTTTGTTATTCCCGAATATATAAATTATTTGGAATCCAAAGTAAAGGCCCCAAGAACTAAAAACTTATATAATTTTATTTCATTTGGGGATGTCAGGTTTGCCCCGGATGCTTGCAATATTGTTTGGACCCCTGGGCACTTTGAGATGCACACGCGATCCAATAAGTCAGGTGATGAAAACCCGTGATACTTTGTCCCACAAACGATGTCAATGAAATCCCCGATGAACCGGGTGACCATAACAAATTGTTAACACCTCTCTGTTTTGCTCTTGGCAGATGGCAATGTTATTGTTTTCATTTTGCAATGACTGCACGTGCATTACCTTTGATCAGGTGCACAGCCAAGCCACGCCCATTAATAGGGATATATAGTGAGAGCAAGAAGGCGATTAATTCGGGAGAGGAAGTGCCGCCCAATGAAGACATCAGAGTTTTTATTTTCGAATTCAGATGCGCCAATCGAGTCGAGACAAAGTCAATTGGCCTTGAACTTTCGCGGCATTTCTTTTTTGTCTATTCCGATTTTCCGTCCCTTTTTGTTTTATGTTTTTTACTTTTTATTTTTGGCAGCATGCATAGGAAATTTAATTAAGCAGTAAAGCGAGTAAAAAGAAGTATAAAGATTGAAATGAAACTTTTACGCTCGCCAAATGGCGTCGACAAAGTTTAAAATAAACAAACGATCGTCTGACAATCGATCGATTAAGGAGGTCAAAATGCCGATCTCTTTAAAATTTCCTTAAAATTAAATCAACGAATGCAGGTCTCTTTGAAGCTACACATTATACAGATGCCATTGCATATGGGGTGGTGCCACTGATGGCAGATATTTCGTGATTCACCGACATCCCTTGCAGCTTGGTACTTTTATTAATTTTTTTCTTAAAAATAAATTGAATATTCTTTTGGCTCTTGGCCAAGAGGCTAAATGCGTTTTCGGTGCTAATGACGTTGAGTTGAGCAAAAACATTACAAAACTGAATTTGCATATAAATTTAAAAACCAAAAGTGCTTTCGAATTATTGTTAAATTACGTTTGTCGTTTTAAGTGACTCAATTAAGAAACAATATAAAATTAATTGCCTTTAAAATCAGAAGAATATTGGTACATAGAGATAATTAAATTTCCTATTAATTCACCTTCTCAGTTAATTCAAATTCATTTTCCTCAAATTCTAAAACATTTTCCTCTTAAATAATAATTGTCAATGTTGGGTCTCAAGCTCACATTTTATAAATAAAATGTATGTATAGAAAGAAGGAATGAAAATAAATAACATGAAAACGAAATCTATAAATAAAGCTAAGACAACATATGTCTTTGACTTTTATTTTACTGCTAAAGTAACATTTCCGTTTTCTTCGTATATTTGCCATTTTATTTGCGATTCTCCCACAGTTTTTGCTTTGCGAATTTACGCTTTGTTTTGACTGAAACTGCGTAACTGCAAAAGTTTATTTTCTTCAAGTATTTAACTTAAGTAGATACACGCACTAAGTGAGGAGACGGCCATAAAGCCGCTTAATTGAATTAAATTGGGGGAAATGTACGGAATTGATATTAAAGTGGACACCCAAGCGACCCACGCAATAAAAAAGATCTTTGAATTATGCTTGATTGGTTCATAGTCGATGTTTGTGGAATGAAGTCAAGGTGCTGTTAAGGTGCCAATTTCGTACAAAAAAACTCAATAATACTATTTAGTTTTATTGTGTTTAATAAGAAGAACGGTAATTGGAGATTTAATCCTATGAAAACAGTTCTTTTAGAAAGATTTTACCACATATTAATTTTTTGTTTTGAGAAATGGTCAGTTCTACTAGGGAATGTTTTCTTTTGCATTTATATACCTAAATGTAATCCACACCCGAATATATGTATGGAATGTTTCTGATTCGAGAATATTCAACAAATAATTGGTTGTTGATACATTCAAAAATTGTGTAAACCCTAAAAGTTTGTAGTTACGAAGTGCACATTCTTAGGAAACGTTTTATAATTATAAACTAAAAATCCCTGAAAATACACAGTTTTCAAATGTTTACAAGCCCTTCTGGTGCTATAATTGACAGACAATCAGACAGACTTATCAGCTGCATCTTCCAGTTGCATTTGTCATGTCAATTAGTTAGTCACTGGTCCAGAGATAGATGCGCCATTAGCTGTTCACACCATTTAAATAGTTCGATTAGATGTTTCTAGGCCTACGACTCGCACTATATTTTTATGGCCGGTCGCCGGCTTATCACCTGAACCACACATGATATTTGCCAGTGGGCGATGGGTGGGTGAGTGGGTGGCTTGGGGACTTTTGTGGTCGGGTGGTTTGCACTTAATCATGCTGCGACGGCGTCTCGATTATGAGGCGTGATAACGAATTTGCAGTTTTATTTATAGCAATCAGAATTGACCCGCGAACCGCGAACGCTTCTCTCACAATTGCACTCTTCGAGGATTTTTCACTTACACTAGACGGAGATGATATAACCGTGCGGTTAGCTGAAAAATCTCTTTTTGCGGCACTTTAATAACAGTGAATATTGAAAAACAAACGGATATTTAAACCAGCAACAGCCGAGGAAAAGAACCACCGAAAACCACTCGAACTGCACCACGTCTGCAGCGTCACGGTGTCGGGCGTGCACTGACTACCCACCGATCTTTTTGTTGTGTTTTTGGCATTCAGCAAATCCACAATCCACCCTGATTGATAAGGCGAAATCGGAACGGATCGGATCGGAGCGAAATTGCAAATCGCAGCCAAACACTGCCCTCAGGCTGATTGCACTCACCCCGCATCCGCATCCGTCTCTACAATTCGCATCTAAATCCGCGTGGTATCTGTATTTGTATCTGTATCTGTAACTGTAACTGTGCCCCTGTATCTGTATCTGTATCGCAGTGCATCCTAAAAGGTAACTGCAGCGCCGCTCGATTCTGGCAGACAGTCGCCGCTATAGACAGATGCTCGTGATCGGTGACGTCGCAGCCTCGGACGTCTGTCCCACAATTAACTTAGCTAACTGCTCTTTGAAGTGCCCTTTTCCGATCGGGATTATTACAAAATGTAAACCAGCTTGGATTTAATCTTTAAGACAATGCCTTAACGACTCAAATTGATGGAGAGGGTTTTGATTAGAAATAAAATAACTAAAAAATGATTTTTTAAAAATAAATTTTCAATATCTTTAATTTTTTCGAGGTCAACATATTGAAGTAGTAAAACTTCACCTTTCTTTTATTGACTTTAACTATAATGTTATAATTTTTTAGAATCAAAATATCTTCGATTAGTCAGTAATATTAGTTTTATATTGCAATAAATAAGCAACATGTGTTGTTTTAAGCTTAATATCATAAAAAAATTATTCTATGAATTTGCCGTTTTTGACTGTATTTTTTTGACTGTCATGCTTATTCTGTAAAATAAACGTTTTTTTGAAATACTAATTGAAACACCCTATAAGTAAATAAAATCGATTAGCATTAATAACAACAGGGTATTATCAAACCCACACCAACTAGAGAAACAGCAAGGCAACGGATTTCCGTTTCTGCAATAAATTGGTTAATACTGTAACGAGTTTCTTTATCCATATCAACCGTGTTACCCGCAGATAAACTATCAGTGTTTAATATTGCCGTCATTTAAGCCCCGTGGGCTTTGAAAACCTTCCGGGACCGCCTGCTGTGATTATCGAATCGTATATATGTATTCGGCGAACTTGGCCAACCGATATGGACCTAATCAGCGAACGGTTTTTCGAATTTGTTGGTTAAGAGCATGAGATTAGGTAATAATTTGTTTGCGTTTGGATTTGGCGCCGGAACAGCTTGTAATCCTGATTTAGCAGTGCCGAACAACTTGAGTTAGATTGATGGGTGACAGGAGAGACCGAAGGTGATAAGATTGCCGAGCGGATCATTGAACTGCTCTACAAAGCAAATATGCTTAGAAAATTAGTTTCAACAGGCAATTAATTATAAATTTGAAGAATAGTGATAAGATAAGATTGTACGGTAAATAATTAGAGTTGGTTAAATATAGTTCAAAATGCAAATACATTTATTAATAAATGAATAACAAGAATGATAATCCAAGCAGTGTTGAAAATAAAGAAAAATCAATAACTAAAAAATATCAAAACAAAAACGGTTTTTCATAGCAAATTATTTGCAAACAAGAAAGGAAGCTAGCTTCGGCAAGCCGAAGCTTATATACCCTTGCAGTCATCAAATATGTCGAACAAAACGCATAAAGGCTAGACAACATCGAATCTAAGACGATTTTTCTATTCATTTTCCATATTTTTGACTATAGATCATATGGGAGCTATACGATATAGGTGTCCGATTTTGATCAAATTTAATTCGTAATTCAAGAGTCGTAAGAAAACTCTATATTCCAAAAATCATACTTGTCTGGTGAAAAACAACGATATTATAATTTTATTTCCATTATTTCTATATAGATTTTTCGATCTTTCCTATGGCAGCTATAAGATATAGATGACCGATTTTTATGAAACTTTTTTTCCAATATAAACGTTGTTAAAAAACTTGATATTCAAAAAATCATGCTCGTGGGATAAAAAACAACGATGTTATCAATTTATTTCCATTATCTCTATATATAATTTTCGATCTCTCCTATGGCAGCTATATGATAGTGTTATCCGATTTTGATCAAATTTAATCCGAAATTCAATAACAGTTAGAAAACGCCATCTTGAAGAATTCAAGTCGATCTGATCAAAAACAACGGCGTGAGAATTTTTTATTTCATTCTCTCATATGGGAGCTATCCGATATAGTCGGCCGATCCGGCTCGTTCCGACTTATATACTGCGTGCAATAACTACACACCTTTTGGGAAAGTTTCATCAAGATAGCTTCAAAACTGAGAGACTAGTTTGCGCGGAAACGGACAGACGGACAGATGGACAGACAGACAGACGGACAGACGGACAGACGTACATGCATATTTGGATTCTGATCGTGATGCTGATCAAGAATATATATACTTTATGGGGTCTGAGGTGTCTCCTTCACTGCGTTGCAAACTTCTGACTGAAATTATAATACCCTTTTGCTCTGCAAGGGTATAAAAATACATAAAAGAAATAATAAAATGTATTTATTGTAGTATAAACGTGCCAAATAGACAACATTCTTTAAGTTTCCCGTTTAAAAGTAACATCTAATAAAAACATTATTCGTATTTATTACTTGTTTCAATTTTTATGTATTTTTTTAGTTTTTTGATCAATTAAGCAGTACCTTTATTTTAAAAGCAATATTGTACTTTGACCCCTGTTTTAAAACCAACAAAAAAAATTTGTCCAGTATGATAACAAAAAAGATACGAAAATAGCTGCAAAACCAATACTGTATGTAAGCTACAATAATTTATGAAAAAAGTTTTCCGTTTCGACCGAAACATTATTTTTAATAAGCTTAGAGCCACTTGAATTGGACAGCTCATAGAACTAAACAAATATCATTAGAGAACATTTTCACGCTGTCATCTACTGTCGCATATATCATTAGCATAAATTCTATTCAGCCGGCAAGTGCCGCCCGCGCATTGAAAAGAGCTATAGATACATGTTCCACCCATCAACAAACCACAACAGCTGACTGGCTTCTTTATTTATAAATAAACCGAAATTAATAATATATAATATTAATGGTGAATTAGCTGAAATTTAGACTGGCGCATGTTGCTCGGTCCCGAGTTTTCAGATTTAGAAGGCTCCGGCCACAAAAAAATCGATTCGCATGAGAACTTCAACGCAATCAATATGAAATACAAGTGGCTTACACGAGCCTCGTTTGAAGCGCTAATTTGCCTTCAGTAATTTTTCCTATCTATCAGATACATTGCGTGCGTGTGTGAGTGCGTGTGCTTGGATGTGGGTTGGTTCCACATTCATTTTTTGCTCTTTGGCAGCGCGTGGATTTTTTTATTTATATTTGTATGACATTGCTACCGAACGAAATGTCAAAAGCAAACAAAGCCAAGCACCGTGAAAGGCAAAAACAAAAAAAAAAACAAGTGGAAAAACGCTTGCGCCGTTCTGAAAACTCAGTTACAGATACGAAGATACTTGGGGGAAGGATACTTTCACTTTCAACTCGCTTTCGCTTTCGCATTTGCTTTCCTTGTTTTTATGGTTATTGCTGGGGTCCGGAGAACTGCGAGCGACTTGGCTTGTTTTGATTATTGTGATAACGAGATTTGGATTGTTTTGTTTTGATTGCGGCGGCCAACAAAAATGTGCTTAACGGTTGTTACAAACTTGTAATATTGATTTAGGAAAATAACTCCCCATGCCAGAGTTATGTAAGTATTACTTTATCCTTAAAATAGTCATTGAAAAAACGACTTCGTGTTCTTTAAAGAGTGGTGACCATCCATCCCTTCAATAAAAAATGTGTTTTTGTTTTTTAATATAGGAAGCAAATCTAGTTTACAAATTCTCGATAAAAGATCCATTAAAAAAATGTTCTTTTTTTTAAATTCAATATACACACTTGGAGACCCAATACAGCTTTCTGTGTCATTTATTTAAAATTGTAATCTTTTTTACAAATATGTTTAAGGTTACCCATAAGATCAGTATTTTTGTTTTGTTTTGTTTAAAATAGGAGTTACAGAACCGATCAACTTTATGTTCTACTTTACGAGCTAAGCATGCAAGTACGTAATTAAATTGATTGGTAAAGTCTGGTGTAATACTTGACACCCCTGAACTTGTCCTCAATTGAACTTGTTCAGTATCTTAAGTTTGTGCTACTGATTCCATGTTCAGTTAAGCACTCGAAGCTTTGACTTTAAGTGGTAAAGCCAATGTCAAATGTATCTTATGGAGACGTGCTCCACTAATTGCTTCCACTAAACTGAAGATATATTATTTAAGAAAATAAAATCAACACGTAAGATTCCGTAATATGCAATTAATTATGTCACTTGGGTCTGAAATTTGTTGTAATAATTTGATTTACAAACCTGATGTTTTAATATTATTCCAAGGCGTTCCCTTTTTGGCCTTTGCCAGCGTTTTCCTCTGGTTCGTCGGCGTAGCAATAAAAAGAATTGCTTGTCAAAAGTTGTGGCATAAATATCACCTATATATACCGATTCTAGGTGTATATATTTACTATATATGCTGGGGCCTTTTAATTATTGCGTGCCCCGTTGTCGTTTATGTTTCGATTCCGAAGGAAGTGACCCAATGTTGGGGAAAGGTTACCGAAGGATATTGGCCGGTCGAGAACTTTCACTTTTATTCGCCGCACACACACACACACAGCCGCCAGGGGGCGCTAGTTAGATAACACTATCTTTTGTCGAATTTCTCAGATATGTTCGCTTATTTTTTCATTTAATCTTTGTATGTATGTGTATTTTTTAATTATTTGTTTTTATTTTGGTTTATTTAGCACACACTTGTTTTGGTTACGGTTAAGGCTTTATTAAGGATACGTCCGGGGTTCTCGACTCTCGACTCTCACGAAGTCACGCGAAAATTTTTTGACCTCAATAAAATTTTCACTTTTACTTTGCGCAGCGTTTTTTCGGGCCCTATGTGTTCTGCTGTGTATTTAAGTGATTTTTAGCTGTTATTATTATTATTTTTGCCAGCGCTGAGTGGCAGCCGTGGCAGCAGCGCCCGTTGGAGTGGCAACGTTGGCGACTTGGTCGCAATAAGAGTGTCATTCAAGGGCATTGCAAGGTCGCAGCAGTTGCGTCTTTCGCCCACTGGCAGCTGAGATGCGAGAGCGCCAAACGACGGCCTCTTTTAGTTCTCCGATACACAGATACAAAGATTTTCGAGAATTATTTCGTTTATTTTTTTTCGCAAAACCGGAGAGGATGGATAATTTGGGGACGGTGGGGGGGCTTTGTCACGCAGCGATTTAATTATTATTAATTTGGCTATCGGTGTATCTGAGCGATACGGTTTTAGCCTAGGCCCGAGTCTTGTGCCTCTCCAATCGCCCGTTTGGCCGTCCTGTCGTGTGGCAACTGAGGCAAGTCTCACCAAAAGTTGCAACCTTTCAGGCCTCTCACTTTCGCTCACATTCTCGACGCTTCTCTGGCCGCATTCTCTCGGGAATTCTCGCTCTCAGTGGGCGGCTTTTGGGTGGTTCTGCTAGATATTGCCCGGTCTAAGTTCCATTGATAAGAGAGAGGTACACCGTCGAGAGAACACAATTTTTAGGTGATGGACAGTGGTATTCGACCAGATAACTAGTACTTGTTTAAAATTCTATTCTAATAAAAAATTATGTTGTGTTTATTTTATAAAGATTTCTAGTTTTATTTAATTTAGATTATTTATTTCTTTTTACAAAAATTGTATTCATCAGTAACATTGCATATGGAATTAATTTTAATTAATTGATCGAAGTACAGTAGGGCTTTAAGGTATACATTTTGATTTTTGTTTCTTTTCAGGAATTGGATTCTGTTTTATTACTGTTGGTAAAAAAAGCAAAGTATATCATAATTTCGTAACTATATATTATTAAACCACTGTTCAGCATTTGTTTGCTGTTCTCAGCGCCTTTAGACTTCTCTCGATTTTAGTTCTCTTCATTGCTCCAGTCCTCGTCCAATTGTAGAACCGGCATATTTGAACAATTCAGTTTTTTGTTTATATTTGCATACCTAAACTGTTTGCCCGGTTATTGTTTTCGTTTCATTACTTTATTAATTGTTTTCGATCTTTACGGTAGTCTTTTAACTTTTGTGGGGTGGCGTATTTCACTTACAAATTTGCCGTAGATACTCATGTATCTGAAATTGTACTCTCTGTTATTCTAAAGTGCGTTGACTGGGTGAACTTTGAGAAAAGATGCAATTACATATACGTATGAAATTGCGCTTGAATGAGAATTGCAATAATGCGGGTTGCATACACAGATACTATGGTAGTATACATTCTCTTTAGCCACACACTCTTTACTATTCTTGTCCTGAAACTTCTCTTTGTTGTGCCGCTTTCATCTGTAGGTCAGCGGCAAACTTTCACTTTCACTTTATTGCGACGGCGCTCTCAGCAAAAACAATTTCCACGCCGATTGAGCCACGTGCCATCCCTCCCACCTTGCTGCCGGAAAATGTCACTGGAGAATCAGTGGATGTGTGAAAAGAGACACCTACTATTTGGTTTAAATCGGGTTAGCTTAACGACATATGTATATTTAACTGTTAACTAATGTTGCGTTTCGGGTAAGATTATGGGATAAGTATGACATATATTTATTTTCAAAAATGTAATTAATAATTAAAAAATAATTTCTTAACATGTTTTCGTATGATGCAAAATAAAAACGTTCAGTAATTTAGATTTTATACACAACGTGTGTTTTCAATTTTATATTAATGGTGAACCGCAACAAGACTCTAATTAGTATCTCGCTATATTTAAGTATGTAGTTAATTTTTAAGTTTTTTTTTTTTTCAAATTTAAAGAAATTTAAGTGTTGTACAAATATAAACAAAAAGTTTAAGTTTCAAGGTACGATTTATTTAAGCTTTAATAAGTACTACGTTTATAGAGTCCTACCCAATAATATTATTGGTGGTAAATAAATATGCATATGCGCACTATTAAGCGGGGACATGCACCAAAAGAGAAAGTTTCGACATAGTCCGTCTAGATGGCGTAGGATTTATTTGACGAGAAATAATAATCGAAATTTCAAAAAAAAAAAAAATACAAATATTTAAGTATTTAATACTTAAATTAGTAATATCATGTTTTAAAATTATTTTATTTTATTTATATTGAAAAATTTCACAAAGTTAAACTTCAGAAAATTATGGTCAAAAAAAGTTTTATATAAAAAATTCAGTCTTTTCGTGGTAAACTCAATCAAAGCACTAAACGACTTTTATAAGTCTATGGGTAGCTGGGTATGTACAAAAGTTTGAAAAATTAAATATAACGAACCAAAATGAAATAACATTTTCCGAGATATGTTACTTTGAATAATAAAAATCGGACGACTATATCATATAGCTGTATAAGGAACTAATAAACTAATTCGGTATAAAAAGATATAGGAAATTAATTTTAAAAAATATAACAATGGCTATTGAAAAATAATTTTGTGATTGTTCTTAAAACAAATTAAAACTAAATGCTGCAATGCTTAAGAATGGCTACATAATAATTTTAATGCCTGTTTTATTGCCGGTGCTGTTTAAAAATTGCGCCACTATTACGTAGCTTGTGCTGCATCCCTGGTCGATTGCCAACTAAGCTAATCAGCTGTTCTTCCAATACTCACATTTGCAGTTGTGTGCTTTAAAAATCGAAAACTTGCCATAAAACTTCTTAACAAATTTCCTGATGTAATGTACTGGCCCCAATCGTCGGGAAGACATCATTCAAGACGTCGTGCTGTTCGCGTTTTCGGTTATATTTCGGAAGCGGGCTGTCGACGAACAGAAATCCATTTACAATGTCGGCCAGCCAAGTTCTCCGCTCCCCCACGCAGCTCCGTCGACCCCTTCCCATCGAGCAATCGAAAAAGCCGTTTCTCCAGCAACAACAACAAGAATTTGAGACACAACCACTGCAACCACCAGCACAACAATCCGTAAGTTTTCCCGCTTGTTTCGCTGGTTGCTAGGGAACCGTTGCAGCTGTGCAACAGCTGATTGCACTGAAAACAACTTTGTGTTTATTAAAGTGAACCTGATTTGTTTTGATGCATGTTCTACATTTTTTTGTTATGTTGTGGTTTATTTTAATTGCCATTTACTTAATATTTTTTTATTGGTAATGCCAATGTATGTATGTATGTACATATATTTATATTGTTTTCTATACAAAAGCTTGTGGTTAAACTGGTGCACAAATGTGCACACAAACATAATTAATGAAACTCTATTACTACGGTTGTTACCTTTATATATCCTTGCCGAGCAAAGGGTGTTATAATTTTAGTCAGAAGTTTGCAACGCTGTGCAGGATATAGCGTTTATTAATGACTCTTGATTTTTATAGCTGTCATATGAGTATAAATCGAAAATGTAGAAAAGGTTTAGAATAATCGTCATAGCTCCAATGGTGTTCAGCCTTTATGTATTTTGTTAGACATATTGATGACTGCAAGGGTAAGTATATATGTATGATAAGCTTCGACTTGCCGAAGCTTGTTTTCTTTCATGTTTGTTTTAAGATTGATATTTATTAAATGAAATACAATTTCTATAGACAAAAGTCCAAAGCCGACTTAAAGAAATTTGAAGTGCGTGGTCCGTATTGAAGAGTCCTCACAATGGAACAAATTACAAAAATAAACAAAAAATAATAGCCCAGAATTCCGATCTAAGAAACAAGTTGTCAGCGAAAATTTTCCATCTCGACCTGATTGAATCGGATTTTACCCATTGAGACATTTTTTACATTCAGCCAATTATAAGTTGATCCTCAAATGAAAGTCCAATGTTTGAATGTAGCAAAACTAGTTTGTAATTGTATGCATACAAAAATTAGACCAAGAGTTGTGTTTTAACTTTTAAAGGGTTATTGACATTTGTACTTACACGGTTTTTTATGTCAGAGGAAAAAATTATGTTGAATATCAAGAGTGCGTTTAACTTCATTTTCCAGAAAAATTTGAGTACACAAATTATATTTTGGCGTGTTGCTAAAAAATTAAGGGCACAATGTGATTGGAAGCTAAAATTGCCATATTGGTAAAGGCTTTTCTAAATTGAACAATTTACTCACATTAACCCGTAGTCATTCAAAGTGTTTCGGTTATTCTTAACGTTCGACGGATGATCGATGGAGAGAAAATGTTTTCAGTAATCAGTATATTATAAACTATATTATAAAAAGTATTTAAAGATTTTATGTATAATTAGCTTAATCTTTTTTGTTTTTAAACTAATGATGTCTTAGGTGTGTCAACATTTTTATAACTTGACATTTAGTGAAGACAAATTTGTTATTTTTAAGCATTAAGAATTCCATAAAAAAAATATTTTCTTTCAGTTGCTCATTGAAGATGAAGTCCACGGTGTGATAGAACTACCAAGCCACATACAAGAGATCGTTCAGCATCCGCTCTTCCAACGCCTAAAACAAATACATCAATTGGGCCTGATACCGTGGTCCATAGATAAGAAAGCCAATCACAAGCGATACGATCATTGTCTTGGGTAAGCATTGGAAAGTACAACCCTGATTAAGTCGTTAAAAAAACCTAATTATTTTTAGGGCTTACAAAAGTGCACAGGATCACCTAAGGGCCATAGAACGCAATTCGCATTATGAGCCAAAGCTACCCGATTGGTGTCGTCTGGCGGTGGAAATAGCAGCCCTTCTTCACGACATTGGACATGGTCCGATGTCACATGCTTGGGAGCTTTTGAACCATCATCAATTTGACGTAAGTCATTTTATTCAAAGGTCTCACAAAATATCCTTTGGGTTATGATACGGTATAACATTGCAGACAATAAATCCTTTTTTGTTGTTTTCTAAACCAATAACTTAAAAATAATAATTAAAGAAATTACATTATATTTTTTAATGCTATAATTTTTCTCGTTCTATTAGCACGAGGAAAACGCCTTAGCCTGTGTGGACCTCATTTTTAATGATGCCCTAAACCAGGAGCTGGTCTCCTTAAGGGACGATGGAAGCGGGCGAGGAGTTCAATTAATAAAGGCTCTGATTCTAGGATGCAGTGACTCCCTGTCGTTTCCCATGATGGGGCATACCTACATCTTTGATATCGTTCACAATCGTCGTTGCGGATTGGATGTGGATAAATGGGATTATCTGCGGCGCGACAACAAACGCTTAAAAGTTCTCAACGCAGCGGAAATGGATTTTGATGATGTGTTTCTTCAGGCGCGTATATCGGCAGATGGACAACGCATCGAATACCGTTATCAGGACTATCATCGTATATATCGCCTGTTCGAGGCAAGGTGGCGCCTCCATATTGCTTCTTATCAGCATCCCCTTACTTGTGCCATAGATATAATTTTTGGAAGTGCAGTGCAACGTATAGCTCCTGAACTACTGAAAATTAGGTCGAAAGACCCAGACTGGCTTATACTACACGATGATCATGTCCTAAAGAAAATTGAATCGGATCCCATTTATAAATATATAAGGGAACCACAACGAATTGCAGAAGTTTCAAGCAAGAATGGTTCTGGATCAAATATTATACGGGTACATAGGAAAATACCTGGACCTTGGGAGGCTATGAAATCCGATGAGGCTTTCGCTTTCTTTGGTAATAAAAGGTAAACAAATCTTAAATGCTTAAAAATTATATGTAAACAAGAAACTTTGTTTTCTCTTTAGCAAGAAGCGTCCAATCACTCCATGCCTGAAAACGACTATAATCAACAAGTGCTATAAGTTAGAGTAAAACCTCGACCAGAAATTTTCCATTTGAAAGCATAGATTGCGTTAAATCCGTCAAATCTCGTATGCTATTGTTTTCTCTTTCATTTTGCTATCTATATTTTAATAAACATTTTATGACATTATGTATTAATACTCGTTAGGTTGTTTTAGTATTGCAAATGCACGCAATGCTGATCACATTTGTTATCCATTTTTATGTTCAAATCGTTGATTTTATCAGTTACTTGAAGTTTATCATGTTAGTTTTTGTTTTTTCCATATAAAAGTCAAAATAGTACAACAGCAAAGTGTTCTTAAAATATTCATTTATTAGTTTATACATTGTATTATCATAATCGTCTTAGAACTAAAATACTAAAACAAAAATTTCAACAGTTCACTTGAAGACATCACAATTCAAATTCAGGTCTTTCTAACATTAAGTACTTACTAATCAATATAAATATAAGATGGATTTGTCATATTTTTGATAACCCCGAAATATACACAAGAGAAAACAATCATTTTGCTACAACATAAAGGGGAACTTAGCTGACTACATGTTCGAGTACGATTTTGTTTGTCATATTTGTTTCTACATTTGTTCGTGAGCTACAATGTACACAATTTAATTGCCATTGGGGCCTGGCAGATGTGCTGAGTCTGTGATTATTCGCTGGGGCAAGTGAGCAGCTAGATATTGCTTGTGAAGTCTCTGTCGGCAAAACTGATAGAACTCGATCTCGTTTGTAAAGTTCCGGCGCACTATGTCCTTTACATGTTCGCTGACGGGCGGCTTGAAGTTGTTCTTGTTGATCTTGGTCAAATATTCGGCGCTGGCTATAAAAAGAGAAAAGGGTCAGCCATGTCATATTAAAAGAATATCGTTAATTATTATAATAGGTGTACAGAAGTGAACTTGTTTTAAGTATACCTTCTCTTACGTATCTGAATGCCATCAACTTACTTGCATAAATATCTCGAACGCCCTCAAAGAATCGTGGTACGTATTTTTCCAGGACAGAGAGTGTTGTGTTCAGATCCTCCAGCACGCCGACTACCGCATATTGCTGTTCCACAGCGAATTTAGCTCGCTCCAAGGCACCCACAGTATTGAAGGGACTACAAATTAAATTTGAATTGAAAAATCATGTCTACAATTTAAAAACATAAGTTATATTATTATATATATAAATAACTACTTCTTCGTGGTTTTTTAAATAAGTTTCCAAAAAACTTACGTGCACTCGTAGTCGTGACCGCAGAAGAACAAACTCTGTCTGCGATGATCTCCGATTCCCTCCACCGTAACTCCTTGAGTGTAGGTGCACTCCTGATCACCATTGAGCACACACGTTTCAAAATCCTTCTTTAGCCAAGCGGGATGGGGCAGTGGGAGGTCAGGAAAAGCCGCTTTGCGCTCCACAAAGTACCAAGGAGCCCTCACGTAGTAGAACCAGCTGATCACTCGCTCCACGGGATCACGAACCACATTCAGGTAAATGGGCTTGGGCAGGTTGAACTTGGTGAAGTTGGTGAAGCACACGTGCTTGATGAAGACCGAGGGTTCCGGCAGCTCACTGATCACCTCGGCCATTTCCTGCTGCTGATCCTCCGCCAGGCGGATGGTCTCCACTTTTTGCACAGCATCGCGATGGAACTGAAAGTTATTGCGCTCGGAAAGTCGACGGAGAAGCTCCATGAACGTCTGACTTCCCACTTTGGGAACTCTGTTGAAAAAAACTAGTTCCATTTGTGCCTTTCGGGTGTTATTCAGATCCCGCACGTTAAGGGAGGACATCTGGTTGGAAGATTCAGGGTTAGTTGTTAAAATCAAAACATAAATAGTAATAAGTAAAATTGTTGCAGATTTGTGGATATGTTTACCTTCAGATCCTTGGTGGTTGATATGCATTTGGGGTTATTGAACCTAATGAGATAATTACGATAAAATCACCTAAGCTAAGAAATATTTTCTAATTTTAATTAAGAAAATTTAATTGTCTTGCATTGGAACCCAAATTTTTATTAGAAATTAAGATATTGTTTCGGTGTACACAAGTTTAATGAAGATTATTCTCGAATTGCAGAGCCAGGTATTGCTTGTATAGACGCTGCTTGCAGAAGTAGTAGAACTCGTATTCGTTGGTGAAGTTCTGCCTTACCATCTCCCTAACATCAGGATCTATGTGGGGCTTACGGTTATTGCGATTCCGGTTTCGAATACTCTTGCTGTGCACTGAAAGAAATAGTTCTACTTGACTCGATTCTTCGCAGATGGCAATTGAACACTTTTAGTTTGGCCCCTGGGTCTACCTACATTTAAACAGAAAACGAGCGTGATTGAAGAATCTGGGGATATATTTCTCCAGTACAGTCAGTGTTATGTTTCTCTCTTCCCAAGTGCCCACCACGGAATATTCTTTTTCCACTCTTCTCTTTGCTATTTGGATAGCATAATGGGAATTGAAGGGTCTACAGAATAATACGTAAAATATTGAGTTGGAAGAAGGCTTCAACTACTCACAAACAATCGCCTTCGTTGCCGCAAAAGTACAGGGATTGTCTCTTAAAGTCCGGAATGTAATCTGCCACCGAATACTGGACAAAATTACATTCGCGACTTCCCCTTCTTACGCAATCATTAAAGCTTTCTTGGTACCACTCCTCGGGCATTTCGCGACGGCCTGGATAGATCCTTCTGTTTATAGCTCTCTTCACCCAAGAGCGTCGCTTGTAAAAATCTGTAACCATCCGATCGATTGGATCTTTGACTAGCGAAATGTATATTGGTTTCTTGAATCCATAGCTGGCAAAGTCCAGCCAGTTGGAGTGGGCCACATAGATCGACCCGCCCTCCAGTTCAGTTGCCCACTCCGCTTCGACCAGTTGCTCCTTTTCAGTGCGGGTTCTATTCATCGTCCTGACAGGTCCATTGAGCACCACATTTATGTCGTTCATAGCGGCGAGTTGCCTGAAAAGCGGCATCATTCGTTCGCTGTCCACTCGAGTTGGTCGATTAAAGACAACAATTTCCGAGCCCGCGAAACGTGTGTTGTTGAGATACATTAGGGTCACCCGTCCAAGCTGGGAAGATCAGGGGTTTTCCTGGGATTCATTAAAACTCCAAAAACAAAGCACAAATTAATGAAACACAGAGTGTATATGGTGTCACAAACTAGATTCGCTAACTATCCCAGGAGCTAACAAAGCAAAAAGTGTTCAAATACCTATACAATTCGATCAAAAATTTGATCGCGATCGAATACTGAAAACAGTACAGCATGCAACCTACTCTCAAAAATGTTCCTCACTCCCTTGAAGAATCTTGGAATGTAGGCTTCAAACACGGTAAGGGTTATATTAGTCTCTTCCCAAGTTCCCACGACAGCATAATCCCGTTCCACATGTAACTTGGCTACCTGAATGGCGCGTGGAGAGTCGAATGGTCTAAAATAATCTTTGCATAAGACGTTTTCTTACAGTTAGAAATCTTCCTATGAAGCTACTTACAAACAGTGCCGCTCATGACCGCAGAAGAAGAGGGTTTGCCTCATGAAATTACCCACCGCCTCTTTAACAGTTCCCGGCACATATTGACACTCGGGGTCACCACTGCGAACACAATCGTTGTAGTTCTTTTTGAACCACTTCTCCGATTGAATGGTCGCATTCGGAAATTTTCTGTGGTGGATGGCATTGCGGTAACCACTGCGAACGTAGTAGTACCAGCTGATCATCCGCTCCACGGGATCGCGAACCAAGTTGATGTATATGGGCTTTGGCAACTGATATCTGTGGAAATCCAACCAGTTGCAGTGCTCTATGTAAACAGTGCCTGGATCCAGCTCGGTCACCCAGAGGGCCTGTATCATTCTCTCCCCAGGAGATCGGGTGCGGGAATTAGTGTCTATTGGTCCTTTTGTGACCACCTTTAGGTCATTATAGGGAGCCATGGTTTGGGTGAGTTCCATCAAAGCCTCACTTCCGACTTTGGCTCCACGATTGAAGAATATAACCTCCAGTTTAGAATTTCGTGTGTTGTTCAGCGTTTCGCTGCTCAACGAGGCAAGCTGCGATTTATACAGATACGATTCAACTTAGCTATGGTTGCTCAACGGGATTCTATTGGTTTTCTACATGTTAGTTACAATTACTATTCAGTACTTTATTATTGAACTACAGAAAGATTACGTCAATAACTAATATATTTTCAGTCTAAGAAATTAGGGGAAGTTCAGTCGTTCCAATTCCTTTCGCTTGAGCGCTATGTACTGAATATAGAGACGCTGTTTGCAAAAGTAGTAAAAGTCGTATTCGTGGGTGAAATTACGGCGGACCATTGCCCTGACATCTGCATCCACCTCGGGTTTTCTATTGTTGCGATTGCGGTTCTGTAAGGTTTTCTGGTGCACTAGAGGAGAGATTATTTTAGTGCTAACTCCTAGTCATTGCGAACTGGGAACTCTTACTGTGAAAGATCATTTTTGCTTTAGCGAAATAACGCGGAATATAGTGCTCCAAAACGGTTAGAGTTATGTTGGTCTCCTCCCAAGTCCCCACCACTGCGTATTCCGTTTCAACCCTGCGTTTGGCTATCTGAACAGCCAATAGGGAATTGAAGGGTCTGAAATGGGGTTAAAGATTCTTCTCTTTAGTAGAGATTGGAAACCTAATGCCTGTTACACCACTCACAAACAGTCCTGATCGTGACCGCAGAAGAATATGCTTTGCCTTTTGTAGTTTCCCTCGTAATCACGAACTGCCAAAGGGACGTACTGGCATTCGGGGTCACCACTCCTCACGCAGTCGTTGTAGCTCTTCTTGAACCAGGCCGTGGACTTTATGGGAGCCAGAGGATGATTCCGAAAGAACAGGGCATTCCTGTAGGAGTTTCTCACGTAGTAATACCAGCTGATCATGCGTTCCACGGGGTCGCGAACCAGGTTGATGAAGATTGGCTTGGGCAGGTTGTACTCATGGAAGTCGATCCAAGGGACGTGTTCCACGTAGACTGACCCCTCTTCCAGGTTGTAGACATAGCCAGCGGTCCGAGCCTGAGCCAGCGGTTTCAGTTGCCTTTTTGATTTCTTGCTGAACCCGTATTTGTCGACCCGGAAGTTGTTGATATTCTGCAGATACTCCATGAACTCCGACAGGGATTCGCTGCCCACTTTGGCGCACCTCGTGAAAAATAGACGATCCATCTCGGCCTTGGCTGTGTTGTTCAGTCGGCGAGGCGTAAGGTCACCTAACTAGTTGGGGATAGGGTATGGGTTTAGAAGCTTCATGGGAAGGGACGATGCCAGACAACAAATACAACACAGATATGGGAACAACGTGTAAGGAAAGTGTGGGTCTACTGCTCTACGGTTTTACTGACTACTGTTTATTAAACTGTTAAGATTTGTTCGCATATATATCACCATCTAAAATCTAAATGTCGGAGTCTAGTCAACTAGTTCAAAAGACCATGCTCCTCCAACTCCTTCAGGTTAAGAGCCAAATACTGTTTGTACAAACGCTGCTTGCAGAAGTAGTAAAACTCGTACTCGTTAGTGAAGTTCTTGCGGATTATATCCTTGACCTCCGGCTCGATGAACGGCTTGCGTTTGTTTTTGTTCCGATTGGTGATCTTGTTATTGTGCACTGGTAGGGATTGGGGTATAAGAAATAAGCTCTATGCTCTACGGTTGATTTACTTGATTTAAGCACCTACTTTCGTACATGAGCTTGGCACCGCGAAAGAATCGCGGAATATACTTCTCGAGCACAATCAGGGTTATATTCGTATCCTCCCAGCTGCCTACGACAGCGTAATCCCTTTCCACGTGTTCCTTGGCCATTTGCACGGCAGTCGGCGAGTTAAAGGGACTAAAAAGGGAACGGGACCCCGTGATACCAGAAAACTCTTTACCATTCCTATCTACTCACATGCAATCATCGTGATGACCGCAGTAAAACAAGGATTGTCTCTTGAAATTGGCAAACGCGTCCTTCACCGTGTGGGGTACATATTGACACTCCGGATCGCCACTCCTCACACACTCGTTGAAGTCCTTTTTGTACCAAGAAGCCGGCCTAATATTTTTATTTGGGTTTTTTCGGTACTCAATGGCATTCTTGTAGGAGCTTCGGGCATAGTAGAACCAACTAATAACCCTCTCAACGGGATCGCGGACCAGGTTAATGTAAATAGGCTTTGGTAAATCGAACTCGTCGAAGTCCAGCCAATTGATATGCTCTATGTACATGGTGCCCTCATCCAAGTCAGCGACAAATTCAGCAGACTCTCGTCTTTGTTTTTTGTTCATCTGACGAAAGGTTCTGGTAGAAAGACCACGTCTTTCTAGTGTTACATCATCGCGGTACTTTTCCAGTGCAATGAAGAGCTCCAGCATTGCCTCACTTCCGACTTTGGCGGCGCGGTTAAAAAAGAGTACATCGATATCTGCATTTTTTGTGTTGTTGAGACGGTTTGTGTTCAGGTGGTGAAGCTAAAGGGGATAAGGGTGTCCAAAAAGGGGATGATCAGCCTATTGATCCTATTTTTTGCCTGTTAGTAAGCAGCGATCGCAAGCGAAAATAAGTATTTTTCGTCCAGGATAAAAATGTTGATAGTTTGGCTTTCCTCTGCTCGGTTACAAAGCGATAGTTTGAAAAAAAGGAAAAGCTTAAGCGTCTAAGTATTTATTTTATAAGACGATTTACAAAGTAGAAAGTCTTATAATAAGTTAAAATTCCCAAAAAGAATTTCCAGTTAAAAAACAGAAGAGAAGCAGCGGTAAAGTGTCACTTCGATCAAAGAGCCACCTCAAAACTTATCATAAACATTAAGATAATTATAAAAGGTCAAATATCGGCATTTTGTTTCCACAAGAAAAACCTCTTAAAATCTTCCTTCATATTTATTAATTTGGCTTTAAAATATATCTAAAAAACTAGTTTTTAATGGCCATTTCATTGGCATCGCTCAGTCTGGCCAATGACTTGTCCACCCGCTTGAGATCGTTCAGTTTTAGGGCAAGATACTGTTTGTGCAATCGCTGGCGACAGAATTGATAAAACTCGATTTCACGTGTGAAATTCCGGCGAACCATATCTAAAATATCCTGCGAGATATGCGGCTTCATTGGGTTAACATTTTGTTTATCGACATGCAGACCCGCTGTAAATTATATTTGTCTATCACATATCTCAATTTTAAACACAATACAGAAGAGTAAATTTAAAATCAAGAAAATAGGTTTTGTTTGCCTATGAAAAATGTTTTATAGAAAATTTTGCCCTTCTTGATTTTAAAAGTATTCCATTCGAATACCCACTGAAACTTACAATAATACATTTTGGAAGCATCTGCAAAATAGCGAGGTACATAGGCCTCTAGAACAGCCAGGGTTTCATTCGTGTGCTCCCAAGTTCCCACCACAGAGTACTCCCGCTCCACATTCATTTTGGCCAATTGCAGGGGCAGCCGAGCATTGAAGGGTCTACAGAGGGGTTCGAGGAATCACTGAGAGGAAAAATGGGCACGCTGACCTAACTCACGTGCACTGTAACTCGTTGTGACCGCAGAAGAACAATGTCTGTCGTCGATGGTCGCCCACGTGCTCCAGCAGAGAATTCTCGATGTAGGTGCACACTTTTTCTCCACTGGTAACGCACTGGTCGTATTCGGTGTTGACCCACTTGGGGTTGGGCATTTCGCGGTTGTTGCGCCTTCTTCCAGGCACAAAAACCCACGGAGCTCGAATGTAGTAGTACCAGCTGATAACCCTCTCCACCGGATCGCGAACCATGTTGATATAAATCGGTTTTGGTTGTTCGTGCTTGCTGAAGTTCAGAAAGTTTACATGACTGGCGAAGACTGTGCCATCCTCAAAGTTAACAATATTGTCGATCATGTCGCTTTCCTCAGCGGGTTCCAGCAGCGGAATGACTCCTCCGTTTTGGGGATCCTTTTCCACCTCATAGTCATGGACTTTGCCCAACTGCCTCATAAGCTCAATCAGCTGCATACTTCCTGTCTTGGGGACTCGGTTGAAAAACAACACATTGATCTCGGCCTTGGGGGTATTGTTCAGCTTTTCGGGACTGAGCTGAAGGATCTGCAAAGGTTGTTGGTCGCCCTTGAATTAATTTCTGGTATGGGAGGCGGAGTGGAGAGTGAATCCAAGCAAACAAGCTATCAAAATGATTAGTAGCGAAAGGAGGAAAAGACTCGTCTCGAAACTTAGGTGTAAGATCATTTGGCAAAAAACCCTGTATTTTATTCATTTGGTAATGTTCAAAGTCTTTAGTCTAAGGTGTCTAAAACTCGTCCTTATGCACTGCTATATACTGCTTGTAGAGACGCTGTTTGATAAACAGATATAGCTCAATCTCGAAGGAGAAACTGTTCCTCAGATACTCCATTACGTCCTTATCCAGATGAGTGTCATGGTGAACTGTGTTTATCGTAAATTTTTCGGTTGTGTCTAAATAAGAGAGTTCGAAGTAAGTTGACTTGCGAATTTGGTTCAAATGGAGTACACCTACTATAGTAAACCTTGGTGGCATTGGTAAAAAACCTCGGTATGTAGGCTTCTAAAACAGCCAGGGTCACATTCGTATCCTCCCAACTACCCACTACCGCGTATTCCCGTTCCACGTTCATTTTGGCGATTTGCGTGGTAGTCTCGGAGTTGAAGTGCCTAAATAGGAAGGACATGGTAACTTGTACCTTAATAACTCTTTCAGAAAAGCTTTCTACCTTGGCCAAGTTCAAACGGCTATAGCTTTGAAATCTTCGAATTTCAAGACAATCTTTTAAAGAATATAATAATAAAAATATTTCCTTAAGCAACCATCCTGTTCAAACTTGGTTTCGGTTCGAAAGACTGTATTCCCAAGCAAGATAAACCTACGTGCAAATTTCTGAATTGCCGCAGAGGTGAAGCGAAAACCTTCTCCAATCTCCGTTAAACGGATTGTGGGCGTCAAAAACACAATGTGGGCGTATCCGCTGCCTCACACAGTCGTTGAAGGTGGTGTCGAAGTACTGCTTGCTCTTGATTTGCTTATTGGGATTCCGCATTAGACCCTGGGCGAAGATCAGCGGGTGGCGTTGATAATAGTAGGCACTTATCACCTTCTGTATGGGATCCCGAACCATGTTGATGTAAATTGGCCGGGGATTTTCGTGCTTTGTAAAGTTGACCCAGTTGGCGTGCTCCACGTAAACGGCGGGTTCCCCCAGTTCGAGGAGCTGGTCCACCAGGTCCTTCTCATCCTCCTCATCATCAGTCATCGGCCTAGAAGGTCTAACTATGTTCCTGAAGGTTTCAAACCCTAGTAGATCTCCCAGCTGTTTGATGAGTCGCGTCATTGACTGACTTCCCGTTTTCTCCAGACGGTTGTAGAACACAAATTCACGCTCCGCCTTGGGGGTGTTATTCAGATGGGCAGGGTCCAAATTATGCAGCTTGAAAGTGAGGAGAGAATTAAGTCCACTTTGGTACAACAAAAGAAAAAACCCTTATCGACACAAAAACTAGGCTACGGGGTTATAGGGAGTAAAGTTAATGGAAAAACGAAAGGCGTAGGCAGTTCTTCAGAAATGCAAATGTCTATTTATTGCAAAGTATTGTCGATACAAGCGCTGCTTGCAAAAGTAATAGAAGTCATATTCCTGGGTGAAGTTGGCCCGCATTATCCGCTTGATGCGTTCGCTAATCTTAGGCTTCCAGTGGTTCGTGTTTTGTTTCTGAAAGGCCAGACCTTTGATGGGTTCTATGGGAAGACAGAGTTTTCTTTTTAGCACCTCCAGCAAGGCAACTTTATGGAGGACATTACCGTAGTAGAGCTCCGTGCTGCCCTTGAAAAAGCGAGGTATATAGGCCTCGAGAACTGACAACGTCACATTCACATCCTCCCAGGATCCAACCACTGCGTATTCCCGCTCTACGTTCTGTTTGGCCCTCTCTATTGCTCCCGGTGTATTGAAAGGTCTTGAAGGGGAAAACCTTATCGTTAAGCAGGAACCTACAAGAGCTCTAAGCTACCTACTCGCAAATGGGTAAGTGTCCACAGAAGAACAAGCTCTGACGCTTGTGATCGGCAGTATCGTCTTTAAACATTATTCCGTAATCATATCGACATTCAAGATCATGATTCAGGACACAGTCCTCAAAGTTTTTGACGTAATGTGTGCGGTTCTCGAACTTCCCGGTGACCTTGAACATCTTCACAGAGTTCCAGGGAGTGCGCTTGTAATAGAACCAACTGATCACTCTCTCAACGGGGTCACGAATCTGGTAAATGGGGTTAGTGGGGGTATTTCTTCTGGGCCACATTATTCTATCCTACCATGTTTATAAAGATGGGCTGCGGATAGTGGAAGGGACGAATGTTCATGTAGTTCATGTGCTCTACATAGACGAAGGCATCCTCCTCCTGCAGGTTAAGAATGCGCGTGGCTTCTTGTTTTTGGCGCTCCACTGACCAATAAACTCCAACGGGCTTCGAAAAGGGTGCTCTTGCGGTTTGGAAATTATTCCTTTCACCCAGTCTGTTCATCAGCTCAATCAGGGTTTCACTTCCTGTCTTGGGCACTCGATTATAGAAAATGAGTTCGCGGATATGGAACCTGGTGTTATTAAGGAACTTTGGGTTCAACCGCCACAGCTGCAAAAGGTCAGGTCAAAGTTGAAGAAAACAGAACGAATCACAGACACTAACAGTACAGATAAACACACAGAAAGCTCTTGTTGGGACTCAAAATACACAGAAAGCAACCGAAGACTGTGTTTGCAGGGATATTTTTGGGAAGTAGTCACACACAAAGCAATCAAATATCGTCTTTATAAGAAGACACATATAATAAATAAAAGTGAATAAAAAGTTGATCAAGGCTGCAACAATTTAACCAAATCAATAGAAGCGTATTGTAAACCTATTAATGATCAGTTTCTTTTATTTGTATGTGTTCTATACAGTCCTCACTTAATTAATTTAATACTCTTCATTGTAATCGTTTTGCTGTTCGGGCACTAAGAGGTAGTCATCCTCCCCGAATCGCTTTCCATGGCTCAAGGCGGCATACTGAAGATACAAGCGCTGTTTGCAAAACTCGTAAAACTCGATCTCGTTGGTGAGATTTTTCCTCAAAATGAGTCGAGTTTCATCGCTGACGATTCGAGTGACATTGTTGCGATTCACTCGCGACAGCCGGTCTTTTCCCACTAAAAAAATATGAGGGAAATTCACAAATGTCCTGAGAAGAGTCTTCGACTTTCTTACGGTAGTAGGCCACTTTGGCGTTGCGGAAGAACCGCGGTATGTATGCCTCCAGTACAGAAAGCGTAATATTCGTGTCCTCCCAGGTTCCCACTACGGCGTACTCCGTCTCCACAGTTCGCTTAGCCTTTTGCATGGCAGCCTCCGAGTTAAAGGGCCTATCGAGGGTTTTCGGTAATGAGCGCGTTAATGTCCCTATCTGTTTCCTACTTACATGCACAGCTTCTGGTTCATGCCACAAAAGAAAAGCGTTTGACGGCGATGATCCCCCACGGGGTTTTTAATCTGCATTTGGGTGAAGGTGCAGTGGGGATCGTGGTTCCGCACACAGGTGTCCAAGTCGAGGTTGAGGAACTCATCCGAGGGCATTGGCAGTGCCTTTTCGCCCAGCTTGGCCTGCATATCCCGGTAGTACCACGGGGCCCGGATGTAGTAGTGCCAGCTGATAATGCGATCGATCGGGTCGCGAACTAAGTTTATGTAAATCGGCTTCGGCAGGTGGAACCGGGTGAAGTTGATGTAGGCTATGTGCTGGCTATATATGTGCGGCTTTGGTCGGGTCAGCAGATCGGCTATGAGGTCGTTCTGCTTCTGCTTGTTCATCACGATCGTCTCATGGACACTTCCCTTGTTCCGAGCGTGGGTGAAGCCATTGATCTTGCCCAGGCGAGCCATCAGTTCCATCAAGGACTGACTGCCCACCTTGGGGACCCGATTGAAGAACACAAAGTCCACCTCGGCGAACTTGGTGTTGTTCAGAAGGTCGGCCTTCAAGTTGAAACTTTCGTCCTCACTGGTCCCCACACCATTGGCCAGGTCATCGTCCTCCTCCTCGTTCTCCTCATCGTCGTCCGCGTAGTGGACCTCGTCTTCCTTTCGGTGGTTTTCGGGCACAGCCAGTTGTTTGTCATGGGCCGTCTTGTGCTTGTGCTCATCGCTCTTCGCCTGGTGATGCACATGGTGGTGGTGCGAGTGGTGATCGTGGTGGTGACCATGGCCCGTTGAATCCCGCAACTCCTCCTCGCTGCTCCGCCGATCGTGCACATTATATCCAACCTTCTGCATGGACGACAGGCTGTATGAGGCTAAATCTGCGCGAAATCTACCGAAGCTAGCCCATTCGAAAGTTCACCAAGCTAGGGTTAGAATTACACCGGAAAAGATCGAAGCAGTCCGAAAGTTAGCATAGTTTTATTACTCTTCAACGAACCCTTACTGACTATATTCAAACTATTCCCTCAACTTGGGATCTGCATCCAGTTGGAGGGCTATGAACTGCTTAAACAGTCGATGCCTGATAAACTGGTACAACTCGATTTCCCGTGTGAGATTTTGGGTGAGTAAGGCCCTCGACTTATCGCTAAGTTTGGGTCGGAACGTATTCCGGTTGAAGTCTCCCAGATTTTTCTTCATAGCGTAATACTCGTCCTTGGCCCCGGCAAAGAAACGTGGGATATAGCCCTCGAGGACCGAAAGAGTGGTATTTGTGTCCTCCCAGGTTCCAACCACTGCGTAGTGCTCCTCCACATTCTTCTTGGCCCGTTGCATGGCCTCATGGGAGTTGAAGGGCCTGCAGGCGGATGTGGTTAAGTCAGTTCTTCCTATAAGGACCCATCTTTTTAAAGTGGGGCTTCAACAAATAGAAGGGTTGATCGAAAAGTAGAGGGGACTTGAATTTAAATATAAGTTTAGTAGAAGATCTTATGATCTCTTGGGTAACAGCAAGTGTAATTTACTTTAACATTTTCAGTTAACAAACTAAAGGTGAATTTACTTTTGATAATAAAACAATGCGAAAGAATTTTAAAGTTTCAATAGCTTTCTTTCATTTTCAAATTTCAACGAAAATGTATTTATAAAGACAGGAACAGAAACCGATTTTTACTTTTTTGAAACCCTCTTTCACACATCGACTTTCCCCTCCTAATGGTTTTCCCCCCATTTCAGGGACAGCTACTCACATGCACACCTCGTTGACCTGACCGCAAAAATATTCCGACTGTCGCCTGTGATCACCAAAGTTTCTCGGGGTCATTTGTTCGAACGTGCACTCTGGATCCTTTTCCTCCATGCAGCGGTTGAACTCCTTTTTGAGCCACTCTGTACTGGGCATTTGCACTGCATCTCCAAAGTCCTCAACCAACTCGCCGTACACCCAAGGGGCCCGCACGTAATAAAACCAGCTGATCAGCCGCTCGATGGGATCTCGTACCAGGTTGATGTAAATGGGCCAAGGTTCGTCCAGTCGGTCAAAATCCAGGAAGGCCACGTGTTTGGTGTAGGTATTTGCCCGACTGCAGTTCAGAACTTCGGTGCGAACAAAGTTCTTGGCGTAAACGTCGTCCATTCTGACCACCTCGTGGAGAGCCTTGGCATCGCGACGGGCCTCGAAATTATTCCGCTTGGCGAGGATCTTGAGCAACTCCATCATCTTTTCGCTGCCGGTCTTGGTGACCCGATTGAAGAGTACTGTCTCTACTTGGGCTCGCGGGGTGTTGTTCAGCTGCGCGGCGGTCAGGTGCTTAAGCTGCCGGATTGCAAAAGTTGGGAGTGCTAGTTGGAGTAGTGTTCAGGTGGCGGGTTTCTTGGAGTTTGGGGCACAGACACAGAGGCACACGCACATGAACGAAATAGGCACAAGTACAAAACAGAAATTTCATAAAAGAAGGCTTTCAGCGGTTGGGTTACAAAAATTGTTTTCAAGCAACAAACAAGATCAACGTTTTTATATATATTAAATTTTCGCAACATGTTTAAGCATAGTTTAATTGCTATAAAACGATCCTTAGTGACTATATCCTCAGCTTGGGATTTTCATCTAGCTGGAGGGCTATATACTGCTTATAGAGTCGATGCTTGATGAACTGATACAACTCGATTTCGCGTGTGAGATTTTTGCTGAGTACTGCTCTCGCCCTTTCGTTGAGAGTGGGTCTGAAGGCATTTCGGTTAACGTTTCCCAGTTTTTTCTTCAAAGCGTAATACTCGTCCTTGGCCCCAGCGAAGAACCGTGGGACATAGCCCTCGAGGACCGAAAGAGTGATATTCGTGTCCTCCCAGGTTCCTACCACTGCGTAGTGCTCCTCCACATTCTTCTTGGCCCGTTGCATGGCCTCATGGGAATTGAAGGGCCTGTGGGTGTTTTACTCAGTTTTTGGTCTTATTAAGAGAGATTTTTGGGTGGGGCTTTAACTAAAGGGGTTGAACGAAAAGGAAAGACGACGGGAGCTATTTGGATTTTAATGAAAGGATCGCCTTGTCGATTGGAAAATCGCCCTAAGGAATTGATATAAGTTAACAAAATTCGATAGCCACATCGATTAAATGTTCAAATTAAAGGGTTTTCTATCTCACGTTTTCCCCTTTTTTTAACCTCCCCTGCTAAAGCTTGTACCACCTCATCTCTGGGACAGCTACTCACATGCACACCGCTGTGACCTGACCGCAAAGGTAAAGTGACTGGCGCCTGTGATCGCCCAGGTTGCCCACTTCCATTTGCTCGTAGACACACTCGGGATCGCCCTCCTCGATGCAGCGGTTAAAGTCCTTTTTGAGCCACTCTATGCTGGGCATTTGGACGGCGTCTCCAAACACCTGCCTTCTCTCGGCCAAGTACCAAGGGGCTCGGGCATAGTAGAACCAACTGACCAGCCGCTCGATGGGATCTCGAACCATGTTTATGTAAATGGGCCAGGGTTCGTCCAGATGGTCAAAATCAATGAAGGCCACGTGCTTGGTGTAGGTGTTGGCCCTACTGCAGTTAAGAACTTCGGTTCGTAAAAAGTTTTTGGCGTAGGCGTCGTGCATTATGACAATCTCGTAGAATCCCTCGGCATCGCGTCGGGCCTGAAAGTTATGGCGCTTGGCCAGGATCTTGAGCAACTCCATCATCTTTTCGCTGCCAGTCTTGGTGATCCGATTGAAGAATATTGTGTCTACTTGGGCACGAGGGGTGTTGTTCAGCTGCGCGGCGGTCAGGTGCTTAAGCTGCCGGATTGCAAAAGTTGGGAGTGCTAGTTGGAGTAGTTTTCAGGTTGCGGGTTTCTTGGAGTTGGGAGCACAGACACCGAGACACACGGACATAAACGAGTCAAACACAAGTAGGACAACATATAAAGTTTTGTAAAAATAGACTTTAAGCGGCTGGCGATTAGATATTTTTTTCCGAAGCAACAAACAAGGCACCTGGGGGCATCCCATCATCTTTGAAATTTCGCAAAATTTTGCTCGCACAGCTGGGAATGTGGGCATAAATAATAATCCTCCCCATAACAGGCACTTACCTTTACTCTTTAATCTTTATAAATCGATTTTCTATCGCTTCAGTGTCGCAACTAACTAACGAGCCAAAAAAAAAGACAAGACTGCACTGACAAATTCCAAGACTGAGTCGAAGTGTAATTTTCGTAGTTGGTTAGTGTTAGGAGAGATCTTTATAGGATAGTGTAGAGCTAACTAGAATCAGATCAGTAGGGATAGGAGTAGGTATAGGGATAGCTGATAGTCTACCAGATAGCTAGTTGGCTAAACTGTTTAATTCTAGTGTGTGTGGGGTGTTGTTCGTGTTGTATGTGGGTGAGGTCTAAGGAGGATATGCTACACGGATAATGAATCCACGCTTGACACAATGGGTGCGACAGAGACAGCGCATGAACGATACAGAGAGAGGGAGACAGAGACAATGAGGTTTTCTGGGCAGGCAAAATGCTAAATGCTGTAGGCTAAATGCAATATCAATCACCAAGGAGCTGAGGCTACCGTTCCACATGTCGGTCGCTTTTGATGGACTTTCATCGATGGTTGCTTTTTATCCGCTTTATGAACCACCAGTAATGTATGCAACAATGTTTACGGCGATGCGGCAAATGCGAGATAAATAAAATGGAAATTCGCTTACCTGGCCAGTGCTCTTAAGATATTGGTAGGTGCCATGCAGAGTGTTGATATCGTCGTGCTCTAAAAAAAGAAGGGATAATTAAACAATCGAATGTAAACTAAGAGGTTAAAAAGGAGAACATAGAGCACATTTGTGAATAACCTTCCTTGTTAATTTATTAGAAACCTCACGATTATCCCATTACCGCCTAACATCGCCCAAATTACTTATATCAGTTATCATCTCGACCCCAATTAAATTGAAACATTCGGCGACCTTAAAAACTGACGCCGAAAAAGGAAGCAACCCGAGTACTTTTACTTTCCGTTTGGGCCCGAAAGTGTTTATGCAATATTTGAATGGGATGCCGAGGCCCAAGTCGAAGTTGAGGCCATTTACAGCTATGATAAATAAATAAAGACGAGTGCAATAAATATGCAAGCTCATGATGATTCCTTTCACTTTTCCGGCTCGCTTGGGATGCGATAGGGATCATCCCGGTGGATTTGAAAGGTTTCCCCATTTCTTCCCAGCCCAAGAAGTAAACGCATGCAAGTGGATATTTCTGCGTGTCGTGCGGTCAATTTAATTGCTGATGCCAGACATTTGTCCAACTGAAGTCCACACCATTTAAGCCGAAATGGTAAATGACTGCAATTGATCAGTTGGACACAGAGATGCAGAGACAGAGATGCGGAAAACATCTTGATTTTCAAGTGTAGTATGGGTCGGTCGCACTACTTTTGTTTTGTTTTGGCTAGGCTTCGGTTTTTATGGCCGAGTATTTCATAATTCACCGCGAAGTGAACAAGGAAGTCTGCGTATATCCAGTCCAATTGCCTTTAAACCAGATCCGTTGTATTTGGTCAATTGTGCAGTTTCGCTTTAAAATGTGAATGAAAATGTCGGACCAACTGGTTTCGGCCGACTTTCTGTGCAAAGCCGCCAACAACAAAGTCACTGAACCAAGAGTGAAATACATTTTGCGGTCGAAACCTTAAAATAGAAGCCTGCTCTCCTTTTATTTGTCACATTTTACTTGGCTCCTTTTTTTTTTTTTTTGCAAGTTTTGTGTGTTTTCGTTTCGTGTGGTCAGGAAATTGGGTCACATCCCGTTCAGTTAACTCTTCCATTTGCTCTGAATGCTTTTTTTGCTTGGAATTCTCTGCTGTTCTAAGGCGACCTTCAATCTTAGCCTAGCTCCGGTTATTGGCCACTTGAACTGTCAGTGCGTTGAAGGTGAACCACCTGGCATATGTCGCAGCTTATTGAATATGAGGCATTTAGGAGTACATATGTGAATTCATTCTGGGTGCGGATTGGATTGAGTTCAAGTGGTGTGATTTTCAAAGAGAGAAAAGCCGGTACAGACAAAACTTAGGTGGAAGCTCAAGACTTCAAAGGGAAAGCATTTGTTAACGCCACTCTGACTGACTTTAATCAAATAAACAAGGAACCACATTATTTGAATAAATATTATATATCTGTATTGTACTAATTACTTATCCGTTTTGTTTCCCTTTTTAGCTGCATCTGAAGGACCCACCCAACACCACGTTCATTAGGTTAATGTTATGTTTCACTTCTCAATCTCTCTATCGCACCCTATCTCAAGATCTGACTCCGAAATTATCCGAGCTCTTGGTAACGCCCCTGCTAACACAAATTGCTTGCTGGCTTGCATTTTCCAACCGAATTGGACCTCAGCTCGAAAACACTTAATTTGGCTACCTAGCGAACTTGGAGTGCAGAGAGAAAAATTGCTAAGTACTGGTTTCTAAAATTGCTCACATCATGATGGTGCATTAATAATAATTAATGTTTACATAATGAAAAATATGTACATAGTTATTTTATTCCAATCAAGATACGTTTTATAACTTCTAGTACATAGTGTTAAATCCTGTTTATCTACTCAATACTTTCTCCCTGTGTAGGTGTAAGTATTGCCATTGCTTTTGTTGCTTTTTTATGGGTGTTTGTTTGGGTCCGTGGCTTAGTTTGTATCTAGTGGCTGTCTAATTGAAAATAAAGCTGCCCGGTTCGGTAGTGAGCGCAAAGAACTGGTTTGCTATGCATTTTAGCCAGGGGCAAAGTTGCCATTGCTACACTTTTGCTAAGATTGTTGTTAGTGTGCCACTTAAAGGTGCCAATAATTGTTGGGTTGGTTTCTTATTTCAGAGACAATAGCTAGTGCCAGGTAGACCCTGTCAGGGAAGGGTTCTATGCACAAAGAAGTTTATCCATTACGTCGCAGAATAAAGGTAACAGAAAATGGAGGGGTAATTGGGCATTGCATATCTAAAATATATAAAAGTTATCTGTGATAATATAATACATTAGTATTGATAGAAGCTAACGATCATTTAATAATTTAATTTAATTTAATGACCCAACGAAAGGTGTTCAAAATGTCGTATTCGTTTAATTTAAAATGAAAATAGCAACGCGGTTTTGGGTAATTCAAATGTTTTTGGCACCCACACTATGTTTAGCTATAGCCAACTTTTGAAAGAAAAGTTTCTTTTTTCTTGCGGTAATTAACATTTTCGTGGTAAATTTTCTGTTTAAAACATTATCCGCTTAACCCACTTTTCGTTAATTTATGCTTTCCTGAAATCAACATAAGAATCTTTAGATTTTCCCCTGCCCATCTCCATTTGCTCATTAGACCACGACATTAACCAACTTCCAAACAACTTGGCTTGCATCGTTCAGCACCGTTAATTAACTTAAGTCAAGTTCAATGTTGCCAGCCAAATACGTACATATGTATATAAAATAAATACAAAAACGCAGCCAGACAAAAACCGACATTGGCCGACGGCAACAAACGGTGTCATCATCATCATGATGGCTTAAACGAGCATGTTGAGTACGTCGTCATATACGTATCTTTATCTCGCACTCGACCCCAAGTCGTGTGAGTCAATTAAATGAAATATTTATGAATGGACGGGATGAGCGAGTGGCTGAAGGTAAACCTTTTTCCTGCATTTCACACTGTTTATTTCGTTTTGTCTTTAGCCCAAAGAAAAACTCCATCACCGTCGCAAGGTGTTGTTTTGGTTTTTCTTTTTACTCAAAAAATATTTTCTTTTCCTCGGCTATTTGTTGTACTTTTTGCCATTAGCTGGGGTTTTTTTTTTGTTTTTTGAGAGGGGCAAACCGGGACAATTTGTAACTGTCGGCAATTGACGCGTGCGCAGACGCAAATGCAAGAGATGCAACAATGAAGATGCCACCAGCTGTGCGGCAAATATAGCCCACAAGTGCACTCTGGATGGCCGTCGCATCTGGCCCGACTTTATCCACTTCCACATCATCATTATCATCATCATCACTCACGGCACAGTGGAAAATCGACTTGAGCAGCGAAATTTTTCTTTTTCTCTTTTCCCTCGAACAGGGTATCTCAGATTTACTAAAAAGATAATTATGTAGATAAATGATCTTACATTATTTAAAGAGCAAGTTGTTAAATCTTCATTATGTGAATGGTGATAAATTTAATTACTTTGAAAACCATTTACTTGTATTTTTTTTGACATTACTCATTTATAATTAGGGTTCAATTAAATTGAATAATTAAATAAATGTAAATAAATGTATCGTCCAAAAATATAACTATTCAATTACTTTTGTAATAATATTATTAACAAAAATAAGTAAAATAAAAATTACTAAATTGAATCGAAAAATCTGTTATTTTTATATTAGGCAATAATCAATTATTTAACCAAATAACATCAATTTTGAAAATACTTTAATTACAGAATCGAATTTTAAAAATAGTTAATTTTGTCCGCTTTAAATGACATTCTTTAACTTCAGTCTATTCGGGTAAGTTTGTTTGATCATTTAGGGTATTTTTTCGGCCCGTAGAAAGCCTTAATTACCACAGTGCTATCGTCAGCTGACTTATCGTATGTTGTTGTTTGGCAATCACCGCAGTTAGGCGTGAAGTCTTCTGTTTTCCTTCTTCGGGCCCCTTCAACTCACATTTTCCCCGCGAAAAGCAACCAAGTGGAGATCACTTGGCACAGCTGCTGTTGTGATGTTGTGCTGTTGGGGCAACTTTTGCCTAATTTGCAAGTGGAATTGCACGGCCCGAGCAACCCGCCAAACTTCCGGCATGGAAATTAGGGTTTCATTTCCAGAAAGTTTTGATTCGATTTTGCATTTTTCCGCGGTTGCCTAATGATAGCGTTATTAGTTTGTTGCAAGAGACCTAATTTGGGGTTTCTGCCTGACGCTTATTGAGTGGCAGAATCTGAAGAGATTTTTGTTTGCCAGCAATTACGCTCTTTTTAGGGCGTTTTTTATTGTTTGTGCTCCCAAGTGCGGTTTGGTTTTGGAATTTGGAGTATGCTCGTCAAATATTGCTCCGATGCAAAAAGGTGTCAAGTGACGGCTTTTGTGGTCCATGGTAATGTGATCTTAATGGAAATATTTTCAACTCCCTTGAGCTGTAAACTGCCTATAAAAGTACAAAACGCGAACTAAAACTTCATAAAATTATATTACTTTGTAGCTCGTATGATATATTATTAAAATAAACCAAACATTGGGCTTTAATGCGAAAACCACAAACCGGTTTTAGTGACACCAATTAATCCCCAATTTCCTTTTGTTGCTTTTATCATTACCATTGCTTGGTAATTGAATTAATAATATTACAATCAATATGGTGCATTATTTATATGGGCCACGAAAATAAAAACGAGCTTAACTATATGTCAAAAGGTTAAATTCCCAGACACGCATAAAATGGCCTAACCTTTTTCCCTAGCGGACCTGTCGCACCTAAATAATTTATTAATGCACTAAAATATTGACAAAAAAGAAGCCTTTTATGTACAAATATATGCGCATATGCATATTGTAATTAAAATGTGCACCGCACACATTTGCAGCAATAACATTCTATGGATGCAACGACCATATATTATGTTGAATTTAATTTGCCAGTTTATTAGTGCTTTACCAAAAGCACACACAAATGGTGTAACAAATGCACATGTATTTATATTTACTCTTTGTGCTACATTTACCAAACAGACCATAATTAATTCACGAGGACTAATTTAGTCTAAAACGATCGACTAATTTATGGCAGGCGGTACCTGCAAATACAAGCAAAGGTCTTAGCTCCCCGAATCGGTTCTTTTTACCCGTTTTTGCGTGGCTTGAGGTTTGGGTCAATGCGGTAATTAAAAATCAATTGGCCGTATCTGGCTTTCAAAGGCGGTATTCAATGGTTGAAAGGGTGGATCGGACCGTTTCGTTAAGGTGTAGCAGAGTTTATATTTAAAACATTAGCAAATTTAAGGTAGAAAACGAAGTTAAATATTTTTACTGAGCTTTCAAGAACTATTTATTTTACAATTTTACTTGGAATTTTAAACTAATAATTATGATCCAAGAAAGGATTAAAGGATTCAAGATGATTTTGCTCCGAGTATTCCTAGCTGCAACTAATATCCCTAGGCGGCACCCTGCACCAATCCCACTGTTTTTGCCTTTTGCTAAACTTCCTGTCCAAATCTGATGCCTTATTCCGATAGGCAACGCAACGCGGGTGCAATCGAGCGCAAATTCTGGCCCGCAATCTGGCCTTGTGGCCATTGTTTGCGATGGAAGCGAGTCGAGATGAGATGGGGCGAGGTGCGATGCGTTGGATATGCATCTGATAAATGGAAACTGGGGAAGTGGGTATCTGAATCTGAGGGATAGTGACTTACTGCCCGCATCGTGTCCGCTGATGTGATTGCCCGTTAGACCCAGGGCCGAAAACTCCGACGGCTGCAGCTTCACCTCCATTTCCTTGAGGCGACTGTTCAATTTGTTTGTGTGCATGAACAGGAAGAAGGTGCACGAAATAGCCAGCAGGGCTATCAGCTCCACGGAACTGCAAGAGAACAGTGAACAAATGGTTAGTCAAAGGTTACCCAACAGCTCAATGAACGGGGGACGGGAAACGGGCAACGGGGAACGGGCTGTTCTCCATTTATAATGGCCATTAAGCTTTTATAATTTACGCCAAATTGGTTTTTAGCAGCTATTATTTCATTTACACTTCGAATCGCTGTCACAAACAGCCAGAGCGGCTCCCCCTGACAGGATTCAAAGGCAACAAAGGTGGCATAGGGGCAAGGGTCCTTTCGCCGCGACTACAAAGTGTGCGCTGTGACAACATTTAATTAAGTTGTGAAAAGCCGGAACGGAATAAAACGAAACAACAAAGCAAAAATCGGCGAAAGGACACAAGAAATGCACTGCTAGTGAGTGAGAGAGAAATTGCAAAAATTATAAAAGAAATTAACAAACAATGCGGGATGAGTTGTGGGGAGTTGCTCCAAGGGATGGAGCACCTGACAGGTGTGCGGTACAGCTTGGCGATTGGGGTATATTGATGATAAGGCAACGATCCTCATCCTCAAAAAAGTATTTACAACTTGTAATATTCAGTTCAGCTCTTGTTGGATTTTCTTTAAGGAGGTTTAAAAAAAACATTTATGACTTTATAATGCCTTATCAATCAACTGAAATGATTTTTTAGTCGACTTTTTAACCTGTCTACTTTTTATGGTTTTATTAAAAATCACTTATCGGATTTATGATAATTAAAACCCTAAAAAAAGGTATGCGAAAATAGGTACAATGCGTATTTGTTTACTTAGATACATTTTGCTTGTTAAAATGTACACATACGTAATCATATTTATCGTAGATTTTATGTGTTTAAAATATGAATTGGCTCAATCAGATAGTCATTTAAAATTTATTTATAAGTAAAGGTATTTATTTACCTAGTAGAATATTGCATTTCCTAGACAAAAATTGTTCAGATTTTTCTTAAATTTTTATTTTTCTTCTCCTGCAGTAAGCTTCCGCACTAGTTCAAACGACTTGCAATTGTTTTCTTTTTATGCATATATTTTCATATCAAATTGAATTCGCAGCTTTCAGATTTGGCATTACTTCTGCTCGAGTCGGTAAGCCAGAGCGGACTACAATGACCCAGTTGGGAGGGTTTAACCGAGTTGCAACAGACCGGACAACCTTTTGTGGGTCCTGGTCAGTCCTAAAGCGCACACAGAAAGTATATAGTTAAGTACATATCTATTTTTATTTTGTTTTGATATTTTTTGCTCTTGCCCAACGTTGATAACAAAACAAAGCACAAAGAAATAGAAAAAACAACAACGAACAACGAACCTCCTAAAGAGAGTTGAAAAATAAAACCGGGCAAAAATTGCAATGCAAACTGTTTTCTTTGGCAACTTTTTAATGCCGCTGTTCGCTGCTCCAACTGGACAGCACAAGAAAGAAACAAAATTAAAAGCAAAAAAGAGTGTACATATTTTTTATTGTTGGCTTTTGTTGGCATAAATCTACGGGCAGATAGTAGGAAAACTGGGCAGACAACAGCAGAAAACTTAAAAAACGGTATCAAAATAATAATGACAATAAATGCGGCCATAGAAGGTATACAATTACTAGAAAAAAACCGGGAAAAAATCGGTATAGGAAACCGAAAAGCTGGATGCTCTTAAAAGTAGATATTTGTTGATAAAATGTGATGCTTTTATTGATATACAACTAGGAATAGCAGATGTGTGGTAAACCAAGGAACACCGAAAGTTTAACATTTTTAGGAAATGTTTGTTATTATCTGCATATGTCAAATTTTGTGACAGACTTAAAGAACCCATCGAGAAGATACTCCCCTTTAACCCCATAACCATAGTTTAGGCGAGGGGTCTTGTTTAGTTTGTCATCAGGTGCACAGAGTAATTTATTTCGAACGACTGCACTGGAGTTGCTCAGCTGGGCAGAATATCAAAGGGGGGAAACGGGAGAGGAAGCCTCGGAAAAATCCCAGGTTGGACTTTAGTGAAATGTATCTGCCGGATAGACAGATGCAATTGATAGCTGAAACAGTGTCCAGGGGCTGACCAGAAAGGAAAAATCCTTCAGACGGTCACCTGCTGTGTGGAGTCAGCTCAAGTTGCTTCATAGATATACATATGTTTTTTTTGGGGGAGGCTTCGTTTCATTAGCCCACAGTGGCCGCCAAAAGTTTTGCGGCTTTTATGCTGGACAATGTTTCGGCTATCCATTTACGGCCCTCTTTTTCTCAACTTATTGTTAAAGTTGACACTAAAGGGCCACGCAAATCCCACTTAAGCGCTCTAGCCGCCAAAAACTTATACTTTTTCTGCTGCATATTCCAACTTTGTTAGAAATATACACTTGTGGTCAAGCGAAAAGCAGCTAAAGATGGGTATTACAATTTTTGTGATGGGAGGTGTGTTTCTACTTTTAAAGTTACTATATTTTGACTAACATAAACCTTTTCTATAGTTTGTTGTCTTAGTTTCAAAATCATCAAAACACTTCTATAATTGTGACCGCTGTTGTGAATACATTCTTTTGGTCAGCCCAAACAAAAAGTCCGAAATTTATTGACATTTTGTTCGCTACTCCCTTTGGATCGCCCGGCGTGTAAATGCCAAAAGTTATGTGATTATTAAAATAATTTTACGTGACTGCGTCGATTTCTTTGGACAATTCCAGCAGGGCGAAGTGGGAGTTCGAGAGCAGAGGGGGCGTGGTCCGCTTGGTCCAACTGCAGTTCGTTTGTTGCCACGTAGCACATGTGCAGGCCATTAGGGACCGAGAACCAGGGACCTCGGCCACACTTGGTTCGTTAGCGCTTTTTTTTTGGGACTTTCGACATACTATTTTATATGTGTGCGATGCGAGTTCTATTTCCCCTGCTCTGAGGGGGCGTATGGATGTGCTGGTGGGCGTGGCGGGCGGGGTTGTGTGGCTCCAAGAGTAATAGCTTTGAGCTCGATTTCCACAGTGGCACAGTTGGCTCCAACTTCATCAAGATGATTGAAATGTGTGCGTGCACGCTGGTAATGAGTGAAACGGGACGAAGATCTATAGATACTTTCAAGCTGAGCCTGAACTAAAGTTATTCATAAGAAGTTTTTAAAAAAATATATAATACATTCAGTTAATTTTCTTTGTCTTTATCCTTATACCCGTAATTAAAGGTGCTTTATAAAATATTATTCAATGTTCAGTCATAATTCTCTCTGTAAGGGTATTATAGCATAGTATAGTACAGTATGTAAGCTTTTTGTAACTTCAAAATTTGTTTTTATATTCCTCCGTTCAGGTATCAGGTTTAATAAAATAATTAAATGCTCTTTTATCTTAGTAGGTACATAAATATTAATGCACGAATTCTGCATTTCTTAAGTGCACGCATTCGCAACTATACTCAACCTAACAGAATCTCTTCCTCATTTCCGAACGGAGCTTTCGAAATGCCGATGGGTAAGTTTTGCATGCAATAGCCATGACTATAGGAACGTCTATTTCCTTAGATTATTCCTACGGTTCATGCATATCCAGCAATTTTTCAGCAAATTCAATTCCCATATCGAGGCGGAGAACTTGCAGAATCACCATGAAGTTGCCTTAGAACGCAAAGTTCGTTGGCCAAGGTGCTTTCCGTTCATCCGTCAGCATTTGTTGGCCAACAGACCGCACCTTTCACTTCGGGGAAAGATGGGGGATCGGGGCAGATCGGAATGGAAACGGAATCAGTCAGCTGCCGTTGCATGCAAATTGCTCGCCATTTCCGCTCATTGTCATTTGACTGCCCATACACGTAAGTCTAGGCACCAACTGCCGACTGCAAACATGATTTAATTAAACGATGGCAAATTTTCCAGCTAATCAAACTGCAAAACGGCAAGCGACCATCTAAATTGCAGCCAGTTTCCAAGGCATTAGAAATGAAGATTGCAAAATGCGCGACTCAGGGAAAAATTACAGTGGAACTTGGTTAAGTCAAATATTTTACAAGCCATTAAAACTCAAAAATATGGTAAATTAACAAAAACATATGCAAACAATATTGACTCCCTTTTAAATTTAATTTAGGCATTTAATTAAAAATGTTTTTACATATAAAGAACAAGTCTTTTTACAAGTAGCCTCCATGCTGAAGTAGAATTTCTCAAATCAAACCTATTAAGTAATATTTTATATTCTATATGTGATGTATATTTTAGCCATTATTTCTAGGATTGCTTTTCCAAGATACGGACTTGGCACTGTTAACTCGAAATATGCTTCGGTGATATACAATGAAGCAACTTTAGCTCCAGCAGCTCCTACTTGGTTGACTTGCAGAGCAGGCGCAACAAATTGCTCGAGACATGAAGATTTCTTTCGCAATGAGTCCGATTTTCGATTGGGGATCTGCGAAGATGAAAAAACCGAATCGCGCTTGGCAGCCACACACTCCAATCAATACACGCAATAGGCAGCTTTTCGAAAGGTGTTTGAACCCAGATTTGCCCCGAGCCAGCGGCATTTCGATTAGAAGTGGCCAAACGAGTTGAAAGAACGCGGGGGTAAGAAATATGAAATCATGGCATCGAGGAACACGGCCAGATGTACTGGCCCTGCCTTTGGAGAACTATTCTTTAACGATTGCTGGCAGATCGGAGGAAAGACTTGGCACCATGACATAACCCAAACGCTCGGCGAATCTTTTTTATAACTAGTTTGCCCCCGGGTCACTCAATGATTCGCCTGATTTAGTATGCAAAGAAATTGAATATTTTTTCCGCGTTTCTTGGCGTAGCCAAAGTTCAACAAACTTTAAGCCACCGTCTTTTGGGCAACCTTTCGCTTGACTTTGGCTGGCATTCGCAGTCCACGGGCACTTCATTAGGCAATTTCGTGGGTCCGGCTCAAAGGCCCATTAAAATTGTCAACTGAGGTCAGGTAATGAGGCCTTCCGCTGTTGTTGTGTAAGCCAGTAAGGCCAGGAAAAGTGTGTGAGAAGCGCATAGAGAGGTGCAATGAGGTCGCCGG